CAGTGCCCTCCGAGAGCAGGATAAATGGGTGGGGAGAACTTATCCCCTGACACCCTGTCTTTGCCCTCCCAGCTCCCCTATCTCTTTGATGGCCAGACAAAGCTCACGCAGAGCAATGCTATCCTCCGTTACATAGCGCGCAAACACAAGATGGGTGAGTATCGCTGCGAGTCGAAGGCTTGTCTGCATGGGGAAGTTGACAGGACCGGCTCTTCTGGAATAGGTCCCTAGTCCAGAGTAAAAGTGATGGGCCATTATTCTAGAAGACCTAGGTCATTCCAGAATAGCTGTGCTGGACAATTCCCTCTGGTGAAGACAAGCCCTTAGAGGCTAGTTGAGATTTAAACCAGGGTTGCTGAGCCGCTCTGTCCCTGTGTGTTTTCTGACTCCCAGCTGGCGAGAGCGAGGAGGAGATACAGAGAGTGGACATGCTGGAGAACCAGGTGATGGATTTCCGCCTGGCCTTTGCAAGGGTGTGCTACAACCCTGACTTTGTGAGTGCATCCCTGCTCCCCTGGGGGTGTGGGTCAGAGCTGGAGTGCAACAAATGGCTCTGGAGGGTCACATGGGGATAACAGGTGTAGATATAATCCAGAGCTTTACAAGCCTCCATTAATTACCTGGGAAGAAGTGGTGTTATCCCCATTTTACAGAGGCGGGGGAGAGAGAGGTGACGTGACTTGCCTGAGGTCCCACAGTAAACCAGTAGCAGAGGTAGGATTAGAATTTGAGACCTCCCTAGATTCAACACTGCCTGTTCCCCCAACCCACGGTGCCACACAGACCAAGAGAGGAGGGATTGCTGGTCACAGGGATTGTGTCAGAGCAGACCAGTCTGGGAAGTCTATTACCCGCGGCCCATCTTTAGCCACAGCCTCTTCCTTTAAAGGAAGGTGAATAATTTCTATCGTGCACCTGACTAGTTACCCGATACTGACATGGGAGGGAAGAGAGCGTCTGGGATGGGAGATCCCTTCAGATGATCAGTTTATGCCCCAAAGGCTGGGACTGAATTACCCTTGTCGCTGCCTTCGGCGGCACTAGAAAGCCGAAACCCTGAGTTGCTCCAGGGTGGTGGGGATTGTGAGGATTTGACCCACAGCTCCCTTGCTTCTATTTTCCCTTTTGCAGGAGAAACTGAAGCTGGAGTACTTGGAGCAGCTGCCTGGGAAGCTGAAGCTGTTCTCCCAGTTCCTGGGGGACAGGAAGTGGTTTGCTGGGGAGAAGGTATGTGGCTACAGAGGGACTGAGGACAGAGTAGCTCCGTGTTAGAGAGAGGCCAGAGATGGGAAGTGCAGATCTGGATGGTTCTGATCTGACACTCTGCTTATTTTCATTCTAATTTCCCAGCTCACCTATGTCGACTTCCTTGCGTACGACGTCCTGGATCAGCACCGCATGTTCGCGCCCAAGTGCCTGGATCAGCTGAAGAACCTGAAGGATTTTCTTGACCGATTTGAGGTGAGCTTGGCCCTGACTCCCCTGTGACATGCTGCTCTCTGGATCTCCAGGGCTGGCCAAGCTTGTTCCAGGTCTGCAGTGTCTGCAGCATGTGACCTTTGGTCAAGTTACTTTTCCCAATTAAGGTTAATAGATGGTTTCCATTCTAAGCCTTCTGCACCCTTTGTCTTGTCAAAACAATAACCCACCTCTTGGTCCTTTTCACAATATATGGAATTGGAGTTCATCTTAAAAAGGAGGTGTTCACGATAGAAGACAATCACACACTAAAGACACATAAACAAGTTTCCACACAGCTCAAGTTCCAGCATTGTCTCCCTTGTGAAGCACTCCGAGACAGGGAACTGGTGAACAGCTAGTAGCTGAATAATATATTGCAAGTGCACATCATTTACAGTCCTGAATTTCTCAAGCTTGGATCTTGGGCAGAGGAGATCTTGAAGAGCAGAGTGAGGTTGGAACCAGACAAACTGTTTTTGAGAGATGGAGCTTTGAGAAGTTACAGGACTTCCTGCTCTTAGAAAGTGCTTTATGGGCTCCTAAACCTAGAGCAGCTCAGCAACATAAGGGCCTGGCTTTTAGAAGTTCCGAGTGAAATCAATCGGAGATGTGAATGGTCAACAGCTTTGAAAAACCACATGCTTGGGACCTGATCCAAAGCCTTGTGAGGTCTGTCAAGACTCCCATTGATTTCAGCACCCTTTGGCTCAGGCCCTTGGTCCTCCAGAAGAACTGTTGCAGTGGGGGAGGTTTAGGTTGGATATTAGGAAAAACTTTTCCACTAGGAGGGTGGTGAAACACTGGAATGCATTATGTAGGGAGGTGGTGGAATCTCCTTCCTTAGATATTTTAAGGTCAGGCTTGACAAAGCCCTGGCTGGGATGATTTAGTTGGGGATTGGTCCTGCTTTGAGCAGGGGGTTGGACTAGATGACCTCCTGATATTCCAACCCTGATATTCTATGATTCTTTGAACTGGGCCATAGGGACACGTCTGACAAGCCGTGGCTGCATGCCTTTCTGGTTTGCCATGGGGAGCGATTCCCAAGGAGCTGTTTGGCTGCAGCCTTTGCTGAATTTCTGCTGTGATGACAGGTAGGGGGCACGTGAGGAGCTGATGATGTCTCTTTACGTTGATGGATCTTCTTTTGCTTTCCCTGTAGGCCCTGGAGAAGATTGCTGCCTACATGAGTTCTGGGCGGTACATGAAGGCTCCTGTTTTCTGGAGAACTGCCCAGTGGAGCAACAGAAAGGAGTAGGCTCAACTGGAGCTCAGCAAATGTCAAACAAGTCTCTTGGCATGGACCCACTGCAGCATCTGAGAAGGAGCTGGAGACCCCTGGGACCCCTCTAGCTTGCAAAGTCCCATTGAACAGCAAATCAGCAATAGCTGAAATCCCCAAGCCCTGTCGTAATCCTTCCCGCTAAGCTAGCTGTGCGATTTCCCAGTTACTGGCTAATGAAAACATTTTGGTGACTGTAGAGTCGTCTCCGCTTATTGACTCTCCTGGTTTCTATTTTTTAAAAACAAGTAGCTCTCTCGGGAGTTCTGATTAGCAGGTACTCATCAAGCCTTAGTTCTACTTTTGAACCTCTTCTGAGTTTCAGCATTTATCCCAGCATGCAGGCCAATTCCTGCTTCCACTGGTGCTCTCCAGATGGCCAAGTGGCTCTCTGACAAAGGGCTTTGATTTTCAGAGGTGTTGAACACCCATCACTCCTTTGAGCCCATGAGCATTTGAAAATATAAATAGAAGGATAATTCTCCCATCCCCTTACACCTGCTCTCTCCTGGAGCCACCCTACACACACAGAAAGAACATGTTCCAAAGGGGAAATCTTCAGTCCCTTTTGTGACTAGAGACGTATATTAAAGTTGGCTAGTTCCTGGGGGCCATTGTGAGAAAGCCCTGTTGTCATATCCAATGCATAACCAAGGTACTAATTAAATCATGATCCTCCCCTCTGCCAGGACAGCTCAGCCAGGTAGAGGGGAGAGAAAGCGGGACACACCCAATCAGGTTTCTAAGTGTGCTGCACCCTGCAGCCCCTGTCTGACACAGAGGGCCAGATCCCCAAGAGAACTCAGTCTGGGCCCTCCTTTTGGTGCCTGCAACAGAGCTGAGCTGTCTGGAAGCTGGGGTCCAAAGCACTGAACTGCTGCCGGGTTGCACACAGCTGTGAGAACAAGTAATGCAATGCTTGTATGTACTGGGAGCCACAGTTGTGAGCAGGGTTAGGAAGAAGTCTGGATTTGTGCAACTGCAAAGAACGCACAGGGAATTTGTGGGGAGTAGCAGAGAGGGACCCAGTCATTCCAATCAGGTGGAGGGTTTGAGGCTGACATAAATGCCTGACCTTTCAACCTCCAAAGCCACAGGCCTCTGCTGCTTAAGCTCAAGGAGATCTCCCCTGGCTGGCAGACGTAATAGGTCCTTTATCTTCCTTTGGGCTCAGCTACTCGAGGACACCATCATACACTTGCTCCTGGGTACACAGAGCCAGTACCTTACACAGTGAGCACTAGTGTTCATGGCAACGTTTGTGACTATAGCTCCCTTGCTGAGCACCGTGTGAGCCAGGGGGTCCCTGTGTTTCTTCTTCCAATCTCTAGCAAACTAGGAGTGTATGCCCTTTGTTCCCCGCAAGGATCACACAACATGGCTCTCCCCTGTGCCTAAACACAAGGGCCAGCTACCCTGACACTAGCATGGAGAAATGGTGACCCCAGGGGGGCAGAGGGTGAGGTGCCAATGGGGAAGGAGAAGGGGAGCAGCAGGGAAGAAGTGATGCTGGTGGGAGGAGAAGAAAACCTTGGGGGACATAAGTGGGGGCCTGGGCCTTTTGGAAACCCCTGCGTGGGGATGGGGAGGTATCGATTGCCCGCCCAGAGTTCTGTTCCTGGAGTACTGCATTGGAAGGATGCCAGCTCGGCCCAATCCCCTCTTTGCCCTGGCAGTTGATGCTCAGTGCAACCATGGCTGAGGCCCACTGGTGCCACGGGCCGTGCCCCCCTCAACTTCAGGGGCGCTTATTTTCTTCCTCTTGCTTCTCACGCTTGCAGCACACAGTAGAGACATCTCCCCTCGCTGGGAAGCAGGGGCCTGATTCTGATCAGACCCTGGTGTAAACCAGGAGTAACCCCGCTGGGCCCCATTCCCCTCTCACTCACCCAGGGGTAAGTCAGGAGTAACCCCGCTGGGCCCCATTCCCCTCTCACTCACCCAGGGGTAAGTCAGGAGTAACTCCATTTAGGTCAGGGGAGCTGCCTTGGTGCTAAACTGGGTGAACAAGAGGAGACTCGGGCCCGCTGTTTTCCGGGAGGCTGAGCGCGAGCTTGGCTTCGGATTAACTCTCCGTGCAGTCCCCTTGCTTCGAGCCCCATCTCCTCTGCCAGCCGCTCCCTCCTCCTCCCTTTCTGCCCGGGAGTTGATTCATTTAAAAGGTACTGCCCCGTGTAAAACAAAAGCCGGGCGAGAACGATTCGGGCGGCGCGTTCCCTTTAAACCCCTCCCCCTCCTTCCGCCCAATTCGGTTTTGCTCCGCAGCCGCGCCCCTTGCGGGGCAGGCTATAAACGTGGCGCGGCGCCCGTGTGAGCGGTTCTCTGCCAGGTGCAGCCGCCGGAGCAGCAGCGTAAAGCGCCAGGGAGAGCAGCGCAGGATGCCGGCGGTTCTCGGGTACTGGGACATCCGCGGGGTGAGTCAGTCCGTGCCACAGCCCAGGCTCCGGGGGGGCTGTCTAGCAAAAGCTGCTGTTTTCACTTCTCCCTCCCCTGGGCCCCCCGGGCCTGACTCTCCGGGTCCTGTCTCTGCGTGGGGCCCCGCCAAATTCACCGCCAGGAAAAGCGTGTCACTGTGTGTGGTTGCTGTTACCCTGCACGCCACAGATCTCCCTGGGAGACCAGCGTGTCTCAACCTGGGGGCCCCGACCCAAAGGGGAGTTGCAGGGGGGGTCACAAGGGAACTTTAGGGGTTACGGTATGGCCACCCTTACTTCTGAGCCGCCTGCAGAGCTGGGTGGCCGGAGTGCGGCGTCTGTTTGCTGGGCACCCAGCTCTGAAGGCAGCCCCCTGCCAGCAGCGGTGCAGACCTAGGGGTGGCCATGCCGTACTGTGCCATGCTTGCTTTTGGGCTGCTGTCTAGCTCTGAAGAAGTAGTACCCCCCCCCATAACCTTGTGACTGCCACTGCCCCCCCTTGTTGGATCAGGACCCCTACAACATTGTGACATTTCAGATTTAAACAGCTGGAATCATGAAACTTGCAGTTTTTAAAAATCCTAGGACTGTGAAATTGACCAAAATGGGCTGTGAATTTGGCTGGGCCCTATTGATGGAGCTGATGCTGCCCCTGCTTGTGAATTATGCCCTGAAGCCCACCTGCCCCTCCTTGCAGCGAACGCAGCCTGTGGGCCCCACTGCTTTCCTGCATGGCTTTCAACAGAGTCCTCTGCTTTTGCAAGAGTCTCTGTAGATGAGCACCCAGAAAAACCAAATAAGGTTGCCCCGCTATTTGGCCCAGGGGTCTCTAGGGATCTATAGGCGGCTTCAGAGCAGTGGGACAGGTGTTGGGGAAGTGGCCTCTGTTCGCTCGCCACAGTGAAGAGTGAGGAAGGGGCAAGTAGAGGGTCAAAGCACCTGACTCAAGATTGGAGGTCGGGTAGATCTCGCTCCATTATCTATTTCCCTTCCCACCCCAAGGGGACAACTGGCTGCTCACAACAGGGATGGTCTCAAGCTGTTCCACGCCACTGGAAGGCAGAAACGGCCTTACCCCTGAGCATGCCATCTCCTGCTCCCATGCACGTGGCGCTGTGCGCTGTAGCCCTCGTGCCTTGCACGGTGTCCATGTGGGAAGGGCTGGATTGCAAAACTGTTACACGTACAAGCCCTGTGTGCAGCTGGGGGTGGTAGGTTTTGAGGCTTGGTTGGCACTGGGCACCAAACTGCTCTGCCTGGGCTTGTTTGAGCCTGCCTTGTGTTGTCAGACACCACCGGTGTGGTGTTCTGCTCTGTTCAATGTTAACAGTTGGCTGCACGCGTGTGTTCCCTCTGTGTGCTGCCCTGGCTCTGCAGATAGCTGACCCAGCAGACCCCGAGAGAACCCCCAATGACCACAGACTCCGATAAGGTACGAAGGCACCTAGCCAGGTTTATTGTCAAACAAAGCACAGTAATAGTTCCCCGTAGACTCTACAGGACATACTACGAATATGTGCCCCCTGACAGTGGACCAGCTCAGTCAGTGGTGGCACTCTCCACTGCCCCCTAGGCCAGACAAAGACACTGCCCCAGGGATGCATCTTATACATAGGTACAAACAAGTTATACATAATTCCTGACGTATTGAAGTGCATCCCCTCTACGTAGCAAGGTGCCACCTCTCACCTTGTACATGTTGGTTTGAACAAAACAACCCCATCCGTCATAGTACCCTTTTGCCCCTGTCTGTAGGATGGGTCGGCCTGTTCCTTGTTATGTGTGTGGAACGTGCAAGTATCAGAGTGTTCTGGTATCTAGCCTCCAGGACGTTCTAGGTCTGTATCTTCTTGCAGCATCAGCCCTTTCCTTGCCAGTGTCTGTGAGCAGGGCCTGCCTCTGGCTCCCGGCTTAACTTTGCTTTATGTCAGCAGAGTCTTGACCATTCCTTTAGCTCAGGCTTTAGGCCTCCCACTGGGCCTCTGATACCAAGGGTTTCTGTTTCAGGGCTTCATCTTACTACAGCTCCGAGTTATGCAGCCTCTTCGGTTTTGGTGGAACTGGTGTAGTGTTTCTGGGCAGCTGACAGGAGTGTGGAGCCGCCTGTCTCTGCGGGCAGGGTGCTGCTCAGGGTGCTGAGTTCTAATCTGGCTCCTCTCACTGACGACATGTCCTCAGGCAGGAATGTTGGCTTCATGCAGGGTTTTTCCCATTGTTTGAGTTCCGGATTTGTGACGGCTGGGCTCTGGTCTTCAGGTGATGCCCGTTGGGCACCCAAAATTAGAGACCATTCTTTAGACACTAGATCTTAATCTGTGCCTCAGTTTTCCTTTCTGTAAAGGGTGTGTGAGACTGACCTGCCTTTCGTGTGGGCTAAGAGGTGTCTAAGGCACTTGAGGACAAGAGCTGTAGTGACTGTCACCAGGGAGGGTACTGACAGGTGAAAGAGGAGAAGTCACTGCTCCCGTTCGTTGCTGCAACCACAGTGACCTGGCTCCTGAAAGACAAACCAAGGGGTGACATGAGTGCTGCCCTCTGTGATGGGTCCTCACCTCCTGTACCCCACCCCCCAAAAAGCTTGGAAATTCAACCCCAAGAGATTCCTTTGATGAAGGTGGTGGGATGTTATAAGCTGCAGAGACCCTAGCTCAGGGAGCCAGATCTGAGCCTGTGGGGATGGTGGCCTAGATGACCTCTTCAGGCCTCTTCCAACCCATATCTTCTATTAGTCTAATTACTTTAGACCAGTAAGACTCAGACTCAGGCTTGCAGGCTGCCAGTGACTCTTTGTCGTGTCTTCTGTGGCTCTTTGCAGCACATTAAAACACCGATTTAATTAACAACCAATCAGGATGCTCCTGCTATGGTAGCCGATTGTAGTCGATAAATTAATACTTGCACCGTCATTTTGCTGTAAGACTAATATAGTCACGAGATGTTTCCTGTCACACGGTCTCAGTATGACTCTCTAGTACTGTAGTATATGAAATTATGCATTCACACCCCTGTGGCTCTTCTGGGTAAAGCTGATGGCTAACTTGACTCCTGGACCCCTGAGGTCAGAACCTCCCTGCTCTAACACGGATACATGCAGGCTCTCACGTTGCCATGGTCTTCTCCCTGCAGCTTGCTCACTCCATCCGACTGCTGCTGGAATACACGGGCACAGCATATGAGGACAAGATGTACAGCTGTGGGGAAGGTGAGTGCTGCAGGCAGGGAGCAAAGCTAGCCCTCCCCTGGCTCACTGAGTGGAAAGCATGCGAAGGGGCCAGGAATTGCTGGTTTGTGTAGGAGTTCTGTTCCTGGCTCTACAGAGGCACCCCTTTCCCTTGCCTAGGCAAAAGGCTCTAGTGAGCCTGCTGGTAGCTTTGAGGGCTTTTTGCCAGGCTGACTTGGACTAGTCCCAGCTCTGTGCAGTCTGAGTTTCCAGAGAGTAAAGGGGCTTCCTGGTCCCACAAGAAATTCTTAGCATGAATCTCCTTCAGTGGCGTGCCATGCATTCCAGAGGGTCGTGTGCTGCAACATGCTGACCTGGTGTTTGATGGGGTAATGTTTACGCTAAGGAAGTAGGGAGTGGATCCCACAGTCCTTGGCTGTTGGATTGGTATCTGACAAACCATGTAGTCAGGGCTGGATTAACCAATGTACCAATGAGGCCTGAGCCAGCGTAGAGCTGCTAATCCTCTGATGTCTAGCCTGGTGTTTCCTAGTGGCTAGGTCATTAGAGATGACTCTTAATACATTAATTTCAGGACTGCGTCCTGTTTTACCATTCTGCTCAAACACCTACTCCTAGCTCTCAGCAAATCCCAAGTGCTCCACTGAGTGCCAGTAGTGATTTGGGCATGTCACCCTGCAAAAAGTGTTTGTCTGGGTTGGCTAACTCTAGTTGCCTTCACTTCCTAGTTAAGGCAGTTGTCGTCCTAATGTAAGGTAACAAATAGACTTAAACACCAGACTCCCCTCTAGTCTTTACCATTGGTCGACAGGTTGAGTTAAAACTACAACTGCCATGTCTGCCGTCACTAGGATTTTAACTTGTGGTAAGAACACTTTCTCTTGGTGTGAAAACACCTTTCATGTTCTCCTCGTGCCCTGGCCAAATTCTAACTCTTCTCCACATTCTACCAAGCTGAAACCGCAGAGGACGACCAACTAGATGGAGAATGCCCTGCATTGTGCTCTAACGTGTTGCATAGGGTTGTGGAGAGCTCATGGGGCTGCCCCATCTCACGCTAGGGGCAGTAAGTGTGCATGGATGAGTGCTCTTATCTGCCAAATAAAGCCCCAATTGGCTGTGAGGTTTTGTACTCAACATTGCCCTCTAGAAACCGAGAAGGCTTATTTCCTCTTATCTGGTGTAGGCTCTTTTAACCTGTATTCCCAGCAGGTGTAGTTCCACGCTTGTTATCCAGGCCAGAGTTTTTGGATGCACTGCAAGTTGAGTTTGGCTGACAGTGGACTTTGAGTTAAGTTATTGACAGAGCTGTAAATAATAAACAGGGTGGACTCAAGTTAATTGGCAGCCGGTTCAAATTACAAAAGGTCCTGAAACTGTGCACCTGTTCTAAAGAAAACTGTATCTGTCTTAGGGTGCAATTTTTTTAAACTGGCTTAGCTAAACTGGTGCAAAGGGCTATGTAGACCTTTTGACTTCAGTTCAGACCAAGCTTATAGTTATGCTAAAATGAAATATACCTGACTTAAACCAAAGTAAAGGGGAGCCACGCAGCTTTTTGCACCAGTTTAACCTACACCAGGTTAAACCGCAAGTGGCTGGAAGAGAGCTGGCCTGGAAGGATTCAGGCTCAGGCCATCTTTGACTTAGGACCTGACTTTCAGGAGTGCTGAGCCCCTGGTATGTTCTCCGCCTTCAGTGAGCTGATATTGCTCAGCACCACGGGAATCTGCACCACAAGTGTGTGGCATGCTGCCCTAAGATGCCAGGGAAAGGAATTAGGTGGATATTTTGGCAGTGGCCTGTGATCAACCTTCTGTTCTCCTTCCAGCTCCAGACTATGACAAAAGCCAGTGGATTAATGAGAAGGAGAAGCTGGGACTGGATTTCCCAAATGTATGTAGAATTGCTCTGGGTGGGTGGGCAGGCACCCTGGGGGTGGGTTTGGGGGTTTCACTGATCAAGATGGATTCTGGGTGGGGACCAATGCCAGGGTATCAGTGGGGTTCTTGTGCAGCTGTAGCAGGGAGGCGATGAAGAGTCAGGGAGTGTGTCCAGATGGGGGAGTGTGGGAGCCAGAGAAGTGGGAAGAGGTTGCTTACTAACCCTGCCTCTGACTGCCCTTCCAGCTGCCCTACCTCATTGATGGCAAGAACAAGCTTACGCAGAGCAATGCCATCCTCCGGTACATTGCCCGCAAGCACAAGTTGTGTGAGTATCAGTGGGGGAGGTCTGGACCTCACTAATGATCAAGGGGCTGGGATTTGGCTGGGTAGCTGCCAGTGAGCACTCTGACATTTGTTCCGTCTCACAGGTGGCGAGACAGAGGAGGAGATGCTGCGAGTGGACATGCTGGAGAACCAGGCTATGGATTTCCGTATGAGCCTTGTAATGATCTGCTACAATCCCGACTTTGTGAGTTCATCCATGGTGTCCTGGGGGGCTGCAACAAGACCCTGTTGATGCCACGCAAATCCCACTCCAGCACAATGCTATTGGCACCACAGGGTTTTCCTTACTAGATTGGGTCCCTTTAGCTGGTATTCTTTTTCTGGTCCAATACTTAATCCTTCAGGGAAAGTGAATAATGGTCTCTGTCACTTGCATAATGCTGTACCTGGGGGATTCCTTCCTGGCCCTCCCAGGTGACCTGCCCTGAAGCTTGATGCTGCTCACCCTTAGGGTACGTCTACACTAGCCGTCGGCTCGGCAGGTAGTGATCGATCTATCGGGGACCTATTTATCACGTCTAGTGTAGACACGATAAATCAATCCCTGATTGCTCTGCCCGTCGACTCCTGTACTCCACCGCGGCGAGGGGCGGAAGCAGAGTCGACGGGGGAGCGGCGGCCGTCGACCCTGCGCTGTGAGGACACGAGGGAAGTCGACCTAAGATGCGTCGACTTCAGCTACGCTATTCTCGTAGCTGAAGTTGCGTATCTTAGGTCGATCCCCCCCAGTGTAGACCGGGCCTTAGATTCCTATTATGACAATGGCAAACTCTAGGTGCCCTTCCCACGAGAAGAATTTACTGTAGCCTGGGTGGGCACCGGGTTGCCTTGGTCTAATCCACAGCTGTCTCTGAAATCTTTCCCTCTTCCTCTCTGCAGGAGAAACTGAAGCCTGGCTACTTGGAGCAGCTGCCCGGGAAGCTGAAGCTGTTCTCCCAGTTCCTGGGGAAGAGGAAGTGGTTTGCTGGGGAGAAGGTACATGGTGGGGGTGCGATTGGGGGAGGGGCATGGGAACAAACTCTACTGCCCTGTATCACCTCTGTCTCTCTGTCTCCAGATCACTTTTGTTGACTTTCTCATGTACGACGTCCTGGACCAGAACCGCATGCTTGAGCCCAAGTGCCTGGATCAGTTCCAAAACCTGAAGGATTTTCTTGACCGCTTTGAGGTGAGGTTTGCCCTGACTCCTGTAACGCACGACTCTGGTTACCCAGGGAACGCCCAGCTTGCCGCGGGGGCATGGGGCTGTGACCCATTCCGCTTGGTGTGACCAGTTTCTCCATTCCAGCTGCAAACATTAACTCCTTTGCAGAGAACTTGGCCTCCCAAGCTTCTAGCAACAGGCAGAGTTCATTCTCTAACAGATACAGCAGCTGCCGGAGTTATTGCTATCAAGTACTTGTTAGTGCTTCTGGTGGTAATGGAGATGTCTGCCCTATTGGTGCCAGAGAGGGGCAGTCTGACAACTCTGGAGAGAGTGAAGTCCCCTCTGCTCTGTAGCCACACAGGTTTCTCCCCCTCCCCAGTGCTCTATAGATGTGCTTCAGCCCTGACTCTGAGGCCTTCCTCTGAGAGAAAGGGAATCTCTCTCCTTGGCCATGTATCTGCTGGCCTCTCTGCGGCTTGAGGACTGGCTACCTCCTTCTCTAATGGAGAGGTAGCCACTTCTTGGTGCCCTGCTTGCTTGGTGATCTTGGCAGACACTCTTCAGGTGGCACTGGCAAGCTGGGACAGGACACTCCTACCCTGTGAGCTCTCCTAAGCAATGTCTCTTGGGATTCCCAAAGCGCACTTGCTCCTGTTCTGCTTAGCCCTTGCTCCGTAGGTTGTTGGTCATGAGCTGCTCTAGAAATGGCTGAAGTGGCAGGCACTGGCTCCAGGGGGAAATAGGCGCTGGGACAGAAAGTCCATACCTGCCATTAGTAGTTTGCTGTATTATTCCTGCCTGACTTCAGCCATAGCTTTGGTGAAGCAAGAGAGTCCTCGTATGTGGATCAGGAGCAATGGGCCAGCCTCCAGCCTGCCAAGGTACAAGGCAGTATCCAGGAGCTGGTTATGGATTCCTACCTTTGGCCTGGCCAGAGCAGAGAGCAGCACTGGGGCTTCTCTAACCTGTGGCAGGAGGCAACAGTCCCTAAAAGGTTATCTTAAAAGAGAGGACGTGCTCTGGCCACTCCTGCCCTGGGGACTGTAGGGGGGAAGTACAGGAGCCAACTTTGCACTCAGAGGTTCACCACTCTTCAGTGCTGGGGGAAACCCTATCTAGTTAGGCGTGTGGTCACTCCTTGAGCAGCACAAAGGGAGTAGGGCAGAAAATGTCCAACCATGCCATCCGGTATAACTGGTTCCTCAGGGGCTTGCTAGACATAACACTGATCAGACTCCTGACCCGGGGGCAAAGGGAACCTCCTTTGGTGTGGCCCAGAAGAGGCTTAGGCTTCATGTTCATGTTTCAGGGGGTTGAGGCTGTGTTGTGAGGTGGTCTGGGAAGCAGACTGTGTCTTCCCTCTGCTCAGGGCTCTTCCTCTGCTCTCTCCTCCCCCCCAGGCCCTGGAGAAGATTGCAGTCTATATGAGCTCTAGCCGCTTCATGAAGACTCCCATCAACAACAGGATGGCCAAATGGAGCAACCAGAAGAAGTAGATTTGTGTGGAGGGGAGGGGCTGGAGAGGAATAATCCAGAGCCCCCACTTGCTGTTTGTGTATGGACTCCCTCAGATCGGATGTTGTGAGGGGGTGAACGGTTGACTCTGTTAAGTGGCAGCTTTAGTGAATTGCTCTCAGTGGAACCATCACTAAACGTGTGTAGTAACCCTACTCTGAAATGCCCAGCCAATAAAATGTTTAGTAATTGCATAATGGCTCCCTCTTGCTGAACTGCTGTAGCCTCCCTGGGAGGAAACCAGCCTCTTCCCCGTGTCTGTTCAGTTAACACAGCTGGGAATAGCCATGTGCCTAGCACCCCATCACGTCTCCTACAGGGCATTAAGACCAAATTCTGCCTTGGCTTTTATGCTTCTGCAGTTGTCAGTGGAGTGGCAGAGGTGGAACATGACCCCATTTCCTCCAACCCCTGCTCATGGGAGAATTGTGCTGGTGATGCACCTGCCTGGGTGGCAAGGGTGAACTTTAGGCTGAAAGGTGTCTGAACCAAGCTAACAGCCTGAGACTCATTTGGTGTCGATCCGTGTTGCTTAGTGGATTTAGGGGGCTGCTGTTACTGTAGATCCTCTCCAAGGGAAGAGGCTCTGGCCTGTTTCCCATTCCATCCTTGTTGGTGCTTAAAAGCCTTGTCTCCTGGCAACCAACCACTTTCCTGCGGTACTCTACCCTGATGTCCCTGGCCTTAGAGGTTATGTGGGGGAGTGATGCCGCAGGCTGGGTTGCCATGGCTCTGGCAACTCAAGGACCAGCATCATCTGAACTTGCAGGGGAGGTTTCCTGTGCCCCATCAATTCCTCTGCAGATACTTAGTTTAAATAGCATTAGGTAGCTTTAGTAAACTGGGGGTTTGGGAAAGTCCAGCTGTTGGTGAAAGACTTAATACTACATCAGTAAACAGGTTGTCAAGGCCCCAGTGATCTAGATCTGCTTTAATGTTCTGGAAGAAGGGAAGCTATGTCTAGCCTGGGTGTAGATGGACTGGTCTAGGAACAGGGTGGATTTGATTTAAACCACTAGTCAGGAAGACTTGATTTAATCATGGTTTTCTACGTAAGTGCATTCTTGTTGGTGGTTATAACCTTCAGACATATTCTTCTACAATCTGAGTTGTGGTTTCATTTTTAGAAGGTAAAAATGTTTACATTTTTAAACAGTAATTTATTTTGAAAACTTTTCAGATTAGTTTTTTACAGCTATACTGGGTCAGAAAACGAACGATTGTTTGGTTATTTCCTTTCCCAAAAGTAATTGAAGCAGATAGTTCACCTCCCAATGACTTCATAAATATCTCCAATTCAACAGGTTAATTATTAATATTTGGAGGATTTTCTTGCCATGCTGTATTAGGAGGAGAACATCACCAGACATTTAAATTGTTTTATTTAACTAAAACAACATTAAGTATTCTGGCTTTTTTCTTCAAAAGCAGATATATAATTTAACAAAACAAGCATAAGTCCCTCGCTTCTTACATTTATATCCAGACTTCTTCTCCTTGTCCAGATCTATTCTGCCCCCAACAATCTTCTATTCATTGAACTTTTTGAAACTTTGCACCTTTTAGAGATAGGTAAAGGACTGACTCTTTGTACACAAATTTGCAGAGGGACAAATAGAGTTGAGGTCTGTTATTTCTCACCTCTCTATTTAAAAACATTTTTGCTGTTAAAAAGCATGTTACCTCTGGAGACACAAATCCAGTTTGAGAACTGCAAAACTAAGCATCTCTGATGGTATCTTCTAGACTGAGCACTGAGTCCCATTGGGTTGATAAATGATTTAGGTTAATCTTTCTATACAGAAGCTCCTGGAACCCCATAAAATTGGGTCCCTAATCCATGAACTATTGGAACTCATTTACAAAACTCTTCTTAAACATTACATGAATATATTGTCTCATACTCTAGAATTAGAATTTATAATCCCTCTTCCATGATGAATCATAGAATATCAGGGTTGGAAGGGACCTCAGGAGGTCATCTAGTCCAACCCCCCTGCTCAAAGCAGGACCAATCCCCAATTAAATCATCCCAGCCAGGGCTTTGTCAAGCCTGACCTTAAAAACTTCTAAGGAAGGAGATTCTACCACCTCCCTAGGTAACGCATTCCAGTGTTTCACTACCCTCCTAGAGAAAAAGGTTTTCCTAATATCCAATCTAAACCTCCCCCACTGCAACTTGAGATATGAGCTCTAATGTATCTTAGTTAATACTATCTTGAGATAGTTTCCGCCCCCTCCCCCCCAAAAAAAAGCTTTTTATCAAAAAAAGCTGATTTAAATCAAAAGGTTTTTTTAATCATTGATTTTTATCCACCCTGTCTAGGAAACATTAAGTGGCCTGATTACATAGCTTCACCCTAATTCTCTAGAATCATGCAGCTGGCTTAACAAGCAGCCAGATAAGGCATTGGGCATGGCCTTGTTTTGCATCAAGGCTCTAAGCCCTGGTCTACACTAGGAGTTGAGGTTGAATTTAGCAGCGTTAGATCGATTTAACCCTGCACCCGTCCACATGACACAGCCATTTTTTTCAACTTAAAGGGCTCTTAGAATCGATTTCTTTACTCCACCCCCGAAAAGGGGATTAGCACTGAAATCGGCCTTGCTGGGTCGACTTTTGGGTAATGTGGATGCAATTCGATGGTATTGGCCTCCAGGAGCTAACCCAGAGTGCTCCATTGTGACCACTCTGGACAGCACTCTCAACTCAGATGCGCTGTCCAGGTAGACAGAAAAAGGCCCGTGAACTTTTGAATCTCATTTCCTGTTTGGCCAGCATGGCAAGCTGCAGGTGAGTGCAGAGTTCATCAGCAGAGGTGACCATGATGGAGTCCCAGAATCGCAAAAGAGGTCCAGCATGGACCCAATGGGAGGTATGGGATCTGATCGCTGTATGGGGAGAGGAATCCGTGCTATCAGAACTATGTTCCAGTTTTCGAAATGCCAAAACATTTGTCAATCTCCCAGGGCATGAAGGACAGAGGCCATAACAGGGACCCAAAGCAGTGCTGTGTGAAACTTAAGGAGCTGAGGGAAGCCTACCAGAGAGGCAAACGGCCACTCCAGGTCAAAGCCCCAAACATGCCGCTTCTATGATGAACTGCATGCCATTTTAGGGGGTTCAGCCACCACTACCCCAGCCGTGTGCTTTGACTCTGTCAATGGAGGGGGAGGCAACACGGAAGCAGGTTTTGGGGACGAGGAAGATGATAGCTCACAGCAAGCAAGCAGAGAAACCAGTTTTCCAGACAGCCAGGAACTGTTTCTCATCCTGGACCTGGAGCCAGTACCCCTCGAACCTACCCAAAGCTGCCTCCCAGACCTGCCAGGCAGAAAAGGGACCTCTGGTGAGTGTACCTTTTTAAATAGTATACATGGTTTAAAAGCAAGCATGTTTAATGATTAATTTGCCCTGGCATTCGTGGCCAGTACAGCTACTGGAAAAGTCTGTTAACATGTCTGGGGATGGAGCGGACATCATCCAGGAGAGCTTCATGGAGTACTCCCAAAGCCTTTGCAAAAGGTTTCTGGGGAGGGCAGCCTTATTCCGTCCACGATGGTAGGACACTTTACCACGCCAGGCCAGTTGCACGTAGTCAGGAATCATTACACTGCAATGCTTTGTTCTGCATGTTTGCTGGCATTCAAACATCCATTCTTTATCTCTCTATCCTCAGGAGAGTGATATCATTCATGGTCACCTGGTTGAAATAGGGTGCTTTGCTTAAGGGGACATTCAGAGGTGCCTGTTCCTTCTGGGCTGTTTGCCTGTGGCTGAACAGAAATGTTCACCGCTGTTAGCCACGCAGTGGTGGGAGGGGTTAGCCATGCGGTGTGGGGAGGCAAAATGTGACCTTGGAACGAAAGCACATGTGCTATGTATGTAATGTTAACAGCCAGGTTTACTGTGAAAGTGTACCCATTGTTCTATAAAATGTCTTTTTAAATACCACTGTCCCTTTTTTTTCTCCACCAGCTGCATGTGTTTCAAGGATCACAGGATCTTCTCCTTCCCAGAGGCTAGCAAAGATTAGAAGGCAAAAAAAAACGCACTCGCGATGAAATATTCTCTGACCTCATGCTGTCCTCCCATACTGAGCACAGAGGAATGCATGGAGGCAGACGTCAGAGTGCAGAAAAGCACAAAATGAACAAGAGGAGAGGTGGTGGGCTGAAGATGATAGGCAGCGGCAGTGTGATGAGAGGAGGCAGGATTCAATGCTGAGGCTGCTGGAGGATCAAACTAATATGCTCCAGCGTATGGTTGAGCTGCAGGAAAGGCAGCTAGAGCACAGACCGCTTGTACAGCCCCTGTGTAACCAACCACCCTCCTCCCCAAGTTCCATAGCCTCCTCACCCAGATGCCCAAGAATGCAGTGGGGGGGGCCGCCGACCACCCAGCCACTCCACCCCAGAGGATTGCCCAAGCAAGAGAAGGCTGGCATTCAATAAGTTTTAAAGTGCTGTGTGGCCTTGTCCTTCTCTCCTCCACCACCCCACCCGGTGCTTCCCTCCTTCACCACCCCTCCCTGGCTACCTTGGCAGTTATCCCCCTATTTGTGTGATGAATTAATAAAGGATGCATGAATGTGAAGCAACAATGACTTTATTGCCTCTGCAAGCGGTGATCGAAGGGGGGAGGGGAGGGTGGCTAGCTTACAGGGAAGTAGAGTGAACCAAGGGGCGGGGGGGGTTAATCAAGGAGAAACAAACTGAACTTTCACACTGTAGCCTGGCCAGTCATGAAACTGGTTTTCAAAGCTTCTCTGATGTGCACTGTGCCCTTTAACTACCCTCGTGTCTGGCTGCGCGTAACTAGTGGCCAGGCGATTTGCCTCAACCTCCCACCCTGCCATAAACATCTCCCCCTTACTCTCACAGATCATAGAATATCAGGGTTGGAAGGGACCTCAGGAGGTCATCTAGTCCAACCCCCTGCTCAAAAGCAGGACCCATCCCCAATTAAATCATCCCAGCCAGGGCTTTGTCAAGCCTGACCTTAAAAACTTCTAAGGAAGGAGATTCCACCACCTCCCTAGGTGTGGATATTGTGGAGCGCACAGCAAGCAGTAATAACAATGGGAATATTGGTTTTGCTGAGGTCTGAGTCAGGAAACTGCGCCAGCGTGCTTTTAAACATCCAAATGCACATTCTACCACCATTCTGCACTTGCTCAGCCTGTAGTTGAACAGCTCTTGACTACTGTCCAGGCTGCCTGTGTACAGCTTCATGAGCCATGGCATTAAGGGGTAGGCTGGGTCCCTAAGGATAACTATAGGCATTTCAACATCCCCAATGGTTACTTTCTGGTCTGGGAAGAAAGTCCCTTGCTGCAGCTTTTGAAACAGATCAGAGTTCCTCAAGCCCTGAGCGTCATGTACCTTTCCCGGCCATCCCATGTTGATGTTGGTGAAACGTCCCTGGTGATCCATCAGTGCCTGCAGCACCATTGAAAAGTACCCCTTGCGGTTTACATACTCGCCAGCTTGGTGCTCCGGTGCCAAGATAGGGATATGGGTTCCATCTATGGCCCCACCACAGTTAGGGAATCCCATTGCAGCAAAGCCATCCACTATGACCTGCACATTTCCCAGGGTCACTACCCTTGATATCAGCAGATCTTTGATTGCATGGGCTACTTGCATCACAGCAGCCCCACAGTTGATTTGCCCACTCCAAATTGATTCCTGACTGACCGGTAGCTGTTTGGCATTGCAAGCTTCCACAGGGCTTTGCCACTCACTTCTCAACTTTGAGGGCTGCTCTCATCTTGGTATTCTGGTGCTTCAGGGCAGGGGAAAGCAAGTCACAAAGTTCCATGAAAGTGCCCTTACACATGTGAAAGTTTTGCAGACACTGGGAATCATCCCAGACCTACAACACTATGCAGTCCCACCAGTCTGTGCTTGTTTCTCAGGCACAGAATCAGCGTTCCACCGCATGAACCTGCCCCATTAGCACCAATGGGCAGCGGAGACTGCGGGAACTGTGGGATAGCTACCCACAGTGCAATGCTCCGGAAGTCAACGCTAACCTCGGTCCTGTGGAAGCACTCAACCAAGTTAATGCACTTAGAGCATTTTGTGTGGGGACACACAATTGACTATATAAAAACGATTTCTAAAAAAAACGACTTCTATAAATTCAACCTAATTTCATAGTGTAGACATACCCTAAGTAGTTGCATGGATTAAGGTTGCACAGACAAATGCCCTCTTTAAAGAGGCTGCTGTCCACCAGTCACCATACACACAGAGCCAGTGGGGAGGGAGGTCACTCATCCAATACAAAGTGCTTCACATACAATGTAGAGCGTAAGCTACTCAAGGCTTGAGGACTTCTGGTTCTGTGCAGTTCATAACCCAGTTCTTTAGTGGGTAGCTCAGTGTCAGTCACTTCACTAGGTTGTGAATTTTCCCCAAACTGAAATGTTCAGCTTGATGGGTGCCAAACAACTTGACACACACATGCCCATCTCCCCTTCCTCATCTTAATCTCCACTGCATCAAAACCATTTTACCATCCCCAGTGTCCGTGGAAGAGGGAGGGTAAGAGGCTGTCCCCTAGTCCCAAGACTCTTCCAAAGTCAGCTCCTAAAAGGGGCTAGGAAAGAGCAGTTGATTCAATCACTTTATTTGTAGTCAAGAACTTTCTTTACAGACCATTAAACAACCTTTACCTAATAACTGCTTACATTGCTCCTGGCTAGAAGAACCTGGGAGAACAGTACATGCTTTTGGGGAGCATCTTGGCTCTGCAGGCTTGATCTTATTGCACCTACAAGAAAAACTTTCTACGTGAGACTTGCAAAGGAAGAATAGTAGGGAAAGAAAGCCAAGCATGCTAGGGGGTGTATCTTCTTGGGTGATATGATTTAAACTCTAGTGCAGATGCTGTACAACTGGGAGAATCGGACAAAGCCTGTTGGGGAGCTAAACTTATCTGCCTTTGACCAGACTGCTGAAGTCCATGCTTAGTTGGAGCGTATGTAGCTGTAAGAATAAATAGCATGATTTGTAGTGCAGGAGTATCTAGGAGCCCCAGTCATGGACCAGGACCCCTCTGTGTGAGGTGCTGTACAAACACTGAACAAAAACAGTCCATGACAAGTAGGTGACACATGGCTTTCGGGGATCACTGCACCCACTCTCTGCACTGGGCACAAGAGGCAGGGGAAGAGACTCAGAAGACTCCCAGAAGAGCAGGAGGGCTAATGCTGGGAGAGACCTGCTGTCCCTCTGTTCAGTCTCTGGTCCCTGTGCTGCTTCTGCCAGATCGGAGATGGTGTGGAAGGGAGCCAGCTAATCATGAGGGCCAATCTGCAACAAGGAAGAGAAGTGCAGGGTGCTGAGGTTCCAGAGGCGGCTGGATGGACAAACCTTGGGCCTCAGGCTGTGCCCTGCGGAGCCCAGGGGCCAGGCTAGCGCTCCGCGCAGCGGGACTGGTCCCCGCAGAGCTAGCAGAGTGGGAAGAAAAGGTCAGTCGGTGCCACTCTCCAGTTTTCAGGGGGAACCTTTCACGGATGTGCCCCTCTCCTCCCCTGCACATTTTGGGAAACTTCCTTCACCCCGCTCCCCAGTTTTGTCTCTTTTTTTGGTTTTCCGTCCCCCCCACCAACTGCATTTTACCACTGGATTTCCCCCTCCCCCATTTCAAACAACTGGAAAAGCTGCTCGTTTTTTTCCTAGTTTATCAAAATTAATTTTCTAAATGGAAACTTGTTCAGGGGTTTGAAAAGCCCTTTTCTGACAAATAGTGTTTGAACATTTTTGCTCAGTTCCATGCTACTGATCTTCAGTAGCTTTCAGGCAGCTAGCTCTGGTACTTCCCTAGCCCCTAGCAGCAGAGACTCTAAGCACCTCGCACTCCTTAGAGTATCCTCACCGCCCCCTATGCTAGGTACTCCTCTGCCTGCCTTCCCCGGGTCTGCAGATGGCACCGGGGTGCAGGCAGGAGCTAGGCCAGAGCTTAGAGGGAGACACCAGTGCATATGCCCAGAGGCAGAAACTTAAAGGCCTAGGGAACTTTTACAGCAAAAATTTAGGCTCTGAGTTTAGGTGCCTATGGGGTTCGGTGGCTGCCAAGCAGGGTTTTGTAAAGTGCAGTGGTGCCTAAAACTGGGCAATAAGTACCTTTGTGGATCTGGGCTGAAGGGTCTCAAAAGGAACCCCAAAGCACCCAACCTTGGAAGACTGTGGACTTCCCATAAGTCAGATATGAATACCTGAGCTAGGCCCCCCATGCTCATCTCTCCCCCGCACACTAGCCCTCTGTATGTTTGGGGAGACCCCTACAGAGTGTTCAGTGATGGCCCAGGCAGGGCCCTGGGATGCTGGCTATGTATCTAGCAAGCCTGTAGCAGACTCACCCCCAGGGACGATTTAACAGCAGAGAGCTTGAAGAAGACACGTCTCCCCTCTTCCGGGCAGACAGTTTTTATGTCCTCCTGGCTCATCCCCAGCAGCTGGTTGCCATTGAGCACGCCAAGGCACTTCACTGTGCTGCGGGAGACAGACAGACAGATGGTGAGGGAGGGGTCAATGGGTGCTCAGGGGAAGTAACCCCTGGAGTAACCCCTGGAGATCAGCTCCCTGGTGAAGGGCGGGATTGCAAAGAAAAACCATGGACTGAAGAAATGGCAACTGCTCCCCAGTCAGACCATCAGCAGGGGAGACTGGCCTGGTGGGCGCGGTCTCTGTTCTAGCAGCAGCTGGAGCTGGACACAGGCAGATCTGCACCAGGGGAGATGCAGATTGACGGTGTGGGGGGAGGGGGCGTTTGCTGAAATGTACTATCCAAGATGTGGCAAGTTGGTACCAGTACCACAGGGAAGCACTAATTGGGGCAAGAGGCACTAGTCAGTTTCATGCCTGGGAGTGGCCACCTGCCCCTTCTAGGGCATAAGAAGAGAATATTTTCTTTGATCGTGCTTCCTTCCCCTGGGTTGGAAGGGTGGTGGGGGGGTTTGTTCCTCTCCCCGGCTAGGTATCAGTGTCCTTGACCCGCACAGCTCTGGGCCTAACCCCAAACTGCCCAACGGTGGCTTTACCAATTCTGTGCCATTGTAGTCCATGGGCACAGGATCAGCCCCCAGGGCTTCAGGATTGGGCCGATGTGACTCAGGGAGACCAGGGGGTGATGGCAGGGAAGGGCCTTTCTCAGAGAGAGGCCAGTTTCCAGGGTTAACGACTGAGGTGACTTACATCTTGGAGAAGCCCATGTCCCTCAGCCAGGCCGTCACCTCCGCCGGCGTGGACTTCTGCTGGAGACTAGGGGAGCTGCTTGGCGCCTAGATCCAAAAGAGAGGAGGGGACTGAGGCGTCTCACGGCAAATGAGAGCGCTAATCAAACCACCGATCCCCCAAAACAGACAAGGGAACACTTCCCTCTTCCCCCTCCCAGCCACCCCGCAAGCCACTGCCTGCAGGGGACAAGCTTCATCTCAGAGCTGGTGTCTGGGAGATCAGGAGCCGTTAGCTCAGTGCAGGGGATGAGATCAGTAAACCTTTATTCTACAGCCGGCATGCGCTGAACTGAGAGCAAGCTAGTTCCCATAACCCCATCCCCAGCTCAGGGTGGGCAAAGGCCCAGCCAGGTCAGTGCGTTGCTGCATCTTGGAGTGGAACAGGGTGACCTACTTGGTTCATGCTGTTCTCTGCAGGCTTCTGATCCACTGGCCCCACGATGTTGTTCGGGATATAGCCCCTCTCACCTGCTCTGTTTCTAGCAAGCCACCACTTCTTCCGCTGGTCTAGAATCTGAGCCAAAGGACACAGCATAATTCAAATCCGCCCCCAGAAGCTGAGGAGGTGAAATGTGTGAAAGCCATCACTCTGGCTACCAGAGCAGGGGATCCTGCTCACCCGACCCCTGCTCACCCGACCCCTGCACACACCTGCCCTCTAGGGCTCTGCAATGATCATACACCCTTATCCCCCCACCTAGATACTTAAGAACTGCATAGGGGAAACTGAGGCACCCCCACACTATTCAGAGGAAACATTAAGAACAGTCCCACTTCGTCACAGCCATCAAGTCCAGTGTTCTGTTTCCAGATGAAAACAAAGAGCCTCCCCCAAGATTGCATCTAGCCAGACGTGCCCAGCGAGGGGGCGACATTTCCTTCCTATCCCCTGCCTACCTTCCCAAAATCCGTGACATCTAACTTCCACTCTCGTGAGACCTGAGCATGCATCATTACAGTATGGGCATTATTAGCGGGCTTCATTTTAGTAGATGTCTGAAAACCCAACTCTTCTACTGGGCACAGTACCGTCGGTAGAAGCAACCCCCCACAGGCCGATCCTGTGCATGATATTTAGTCCTTGTTCCCAGCCATATGCCACTGCTGTGCTTTGATCACTGTGCAGCCTCTGGGCTGGTGGCATTTAGCCATAGTCAGCAATCAAAGGTCCTTCTGTGCCTTGGTGCTTTTAGCCCTCTCTGCCTGTTGTCCAATCTCCATTCACCTTGATCCACCAGTCCCTAGTAGCCGCCCTCCCTCTATATCTGTAAATAGTCCCAGAGGAATGCACTGTGCTTTATAGAGAGAATGGAGACCCAGTTACCTCCCAAAGGTATCTAAGTTTTGGTGCTGAGATCGCCTAGCAGAGACTGTGAACAATTCCCTGGCTTCATAGGACAGTTCCTGCCTTACCTCCAGCAATTCCCCTTTCATGACAGTCAGCTCCTTGTTGTTCCTGGCCTGGAATTCGTACATGGCTTGCATGAGCTGCGGGGGACTAGAAGGAGCTCTGGAAGGAGGAGACCATGTATGGAGTTAGAGCCCAGGAGAATGGAGATCTGTGACCATCTCAGTCCTAGATCCCTAGGGACCCAGCTAAGAGATCCAGCTGCTGCTTACAAAAAGAGAACCCCATCCTGACCTCTCTCACAAAGCTCTGCAGGGCAGGTAACTGTTGATTTCAGTACTACTCCAGTCACCAAGAGCAGGTCTAGTCCCATAGGATTTTTGTCTAGACACAGCGAGAGGGCCTGATCCTGAAGGGCGCTGAGCACCCTCAGCTCTCGTCACTCTCGCCATGGGAGTTGCGGGTGCTGCCCCCACCCGCCCCCAGGAAGTGCTCAGCGCCTTGCAGGGTCAGGCCCATAGTCTGTTACTGTTGGGAGAACAGAGCCACTCGGCTACCCTGACACACTCAAGGGGAAAGAGCAACTGGCTGGGGCCAGGTGGCCCAAAGGTGAACAGCAGGGGCTTGGGAGGGGCTGTGCCCACAGAGATGGCATAGACAGCAGTCAGGAGTGGCAGGCTGGCATGGAGAGAGCTCTCAGACCATATGGGGGGGACAGGACAGGGTGACCCACTTTCAGAGGCAATAATGCAGTGAGCAATTAAGATACTTGACAAGGGAGCCAAATGAGCTACTCATTTGCTGTCTCCAGCGGGTTTGACCTTCCTGTCTCACACAGACCCCCTTTTGTTCCAGGGATGCTTCCCCCACTTCTGACACAGTGTGAACTGCTGAACCCAACGGTGGCCAAAGCCCCCACCTTGGGTTTCTCTCCCTGGCATCACTGCAGCCTGTGCCAGCAGGGCTGACAACAGGGCCCCTTTGTAATGAGCTGCCCTTGCCCCCACCCACGGGCTCAGAGACATCCCAGAATGGAAGCCCGGCTCTGCTGGCAGGCTGAAACCAGTCAGCTGTGGCAGATTCTTCTGCTGGTAGGTCAGAAAGAACCTTGTGTGTGTAGCAACAGCAGTGGGAGTATGTGTGTAGCGTGTGTAGGATTTGGGGAACAGGGACTGTGTTGAGCACGTGCGGTCTCAAGAGGGGATCCCAGCAAGTTCTGAGCAGGAGTTATTTGCCCCTCATAGCCAGGGACCCTGTGCTGCCCATGTTCATTCATGCACACTGAAGTCCAAGGGGCCTCCCTGCATACAGCGCATTGGGACATTTCTCAGAACCCCAGTAGGAAGCCAGGCCAGCCTGGAGACAGGAGCACGTACCTGGACGTGGCATGGTTCTGGCTTCCCAGGGGCTGCTGCATGGAGAGAAGACAAACATGCTTTAGTTACATCCGAGGGGGGCATTCCAGGGAAGCTGAGGGTGGCACAAGAGCCCTTCATGGCTCCCACTGAACAGACGGGTGATAACCCCCAGAGCCAGAGAGACACCCTGGAGAGGCTACGCAGCACGTGTGACCCCAGCAGCTTCTGCTCTGCAAACATAAGCCTGTCTTTCCAAGTTACAGAAGAATCTCCCTCACCTGTTAGCAATCGTAGGGCTTTTATCACTGCTAGACCCTGGGGGAGGCAGGAGGAAGCAGTCCACACACAGCAAAGTCTGCATGCACTAAATCCCCTGGTAGGGGACGTAATCCTTTCCCAGATTGCACAAAGGGCCAAGTCACGGCCTGGCTACAACCTACTGTTCAGTGTTTCAAGGGAAGGATGGGCTTACAGCAGTGCAAATCATCTTCCCCTCCCCTGGACTCGGAGTTCCGATGTCTGTCTATGGCACCCATCCCTATAACATCTGAGTGCCTGGTAACCATTAATGAGGCTGTCCTAAGACTCCCATGGTGAGACCGAGCAGTGCTACTATCCCATTTTGCAGATGGGAAATGAAGACACAGGTCCTCAAAGGTATTTAGGCACCTAACACCTATGGAAGTTAAGTACCTGAATACCTTTGAGGCTCTGTGCCTAAGTAACTTGCCCAAGATCATATGGGCAGTCAGTGGCAGAGCAGAAGCTTGAACCTGGGTCTCCCAGGGCCCAGGCTAGTGCTCTAACCACTAGACAACCCTCCCTCTCTTACAAGGGGTCTGGGGCCAAACTGCCTCATTAGCTTTGCTTCTGTGAGATGAGCCCATTAGATGTCCCTTGTGCTATTCCCCATTCCCAGTGACAGTGCTTAAAGTGGTCTTAGTGATGTGAGGGGAATCAATCATAATCAGGGAGCAGCAGCTTTGGGAAGACAGTATTTAAAGTGCGCCCCTCAGCCACCCAGCTCAAATTTTAATTTGTGCCGCCACGAACAGACTGGCAGTCAAGACTCACCCTCTCCACATGAGTGGCAGTCGCCCTCTGGGTCGGCAGGGGGGGCACCCACCCATCTGAGAAGATGGGGATGTAGGGAGGGATGAACTGTCTGTCTGGGTACTCTGCCCTGGGGTGGGGAAGAAAGAGAAGACTTTGCAATGCTGGTCTCCAGACAGGACCATAAACACGTCTCTCTAACCACCGGCAGCTGCACAGGGTGGGTAGAAGCGACTCGAAGGGGGATCCATAGCTCTGACAACAAGCAATGGCTGCAGCGAGCAAAGAACAGGTCAAGGGGCTCAGGCTGGGAAGGGAGGCACCAGTCATAGCCCTGCGGGAAGGTACATGTGGGGGTGGAGGGGACGATGGAAAGCTCAGTGACTTGGTAAGGGGAGAACAGTCTCTTACAACCCCAGTGGAGGCTGCTGGTTCGGATCCGGCTCGGGCTGGAAGCGAGACAGACAGCATTCCTGGGTGTCTGATGCCCGTCTGGGAGGAGCTGACACAGAAGCCCTCAGCACAGCTTCTCTCCCCATCTCAGCCCAATGGGGCTCGAGATCTCCTCTCAGATCCAGACAGGGCTGGGTAATGCGGCGAAGCTGCTGCCTGGGGCTAAAGAGTAGACTTCAGACCAGCAACCACAATCTGGATTAACGCTAAAGGGGGAGATGGCTCCACTGGATCCCAGTTCAAGTTCTTTCCACATTCGCCGGCTTAAGATCCTCCCCATTAACAGCAACGGACGGTGCACGTTCCAAGCGGCTGCTCCACGCCCTGCCGGCTTGGTAGAGGGAATGGCCTGGATGGCCGAGGGATTCTCCTCACCTCGTGGTGTGCCAAGCCTTGCCCAGACTCTTCCAGGTGTCATGATCCTTTTTCTCCAAAGACTCGTCCACCAGGTCGATGGCTGCCTCGGTCAGCAGAGGGGAAACAATGGAGGAGGCCAGGCTGGGCCAGGGACAGTTGGACAAAATCTGGATATTGGGCAGATGGGGAGGAATGACAGTGATAAGTCAGGTCAGCCCAGTACCTCCCCGCTCTGGTGGTCATGTCCGAGGGCAGCTGCGCTGTCAGGGTGCCCTGCTCACACCTGCTTTGGGTGCAACTGGGGGTGATGAGTCACTGGTGGTCAGATGTTTGCAGGGGGATCTGCCACACTGAAGCGCACAGCGCTGGGTGCAGGGGAACGATTCACACGATCACTGTGCAGCGGAGCTCCAAAGTGCTCTATGAACAGAGCCCATCCACACAGCCCTTGGGGGCGGCGGGCGGATGCCAGTTTTACAGGTCAGGACATGGAACCACAGAGAGGGGAAGTGACTTGCTCAAGGTCACAAAGCGAGCCAGCGGCAAAGGTGGGAACAAAAGCCAGGAGTCCTGACTCCCAGGCCTGTGCTTGAATCACTAGCCCATGCCCTCTCCTGGTAGCCACAAGGCTATGTCCTGAGAATTTTACTGCCAGGGAAAATCTGGGGTCTCTCAGATTCCTGTGGTGGGGAAAAATCTGCCTGCAACCCATTGTCCACTGTGAGCCGATCCCACTCTGTGCCCACATAGGACAAAGGGGCTTAGATCTGGAATTTCTGGCAGAAGCCACAATGGCAGTCGTTACACCTACCCCTGAAGAATGCTGCTGCTTGCTGAAGGAGCTGATCGTCCCCTAGGCTGAGTGTTTGGCACTCTGTCTCCCAAGGTTTCTCTTTGCTGCTGCAATGCGCATGTGGGATACAGCAAAGAGAAAACAGATCCTTCCCTTTGTGGAGGTTTGCAGCTGAGGAAAGCACTGTGCGTATGAGCTTCCCTTATTTGGTGAGGCTCAGAGACCTGGGCTTTGGGCTCAGCCAACGATCAGGTTTTCTGGAGCCCTCAATCCAACTCCCAGAGTAGGAGTTTCGGGGGCAGTTCTTCACCTGGGATGAGCTGGTTTAGTGCCGTTGAAGTCGTGGAGATGGAGGCAGCTCCCCCAAAGCTGATGAAGCTCTACCAGCTGACACCAGTTGCGGATCTGGCCTGCATTCCCGTAGGCACTTCCCAAGGAGAGCAGGATCAGTTTGGAACAATGGTGTCATTCGGAGACTACAATTCGCATCCTGGTATTGTCCAGCCTGCCAGCCCATTGGCTGCATGGATACAAGGGGGGTCAATGAGATGGATCCGAACGGTCTGGGATACTCACAAAGGAGAGGGTGGAGAAGACGAGTCGAACCAGTTCCGGGGCACTGGGCTGCTGCTGCAGCTTAGGTCTCAGCTTCCCCTGGGCAGAGACAAAACACAGGTGAAGCTTTTCACCTCTCTGCCTTGGCCCCACCGCCAGGGAGGTAGCTGCACCCTGGGCGGCTAACACAAGGAGGAGCAACGCAGAGGGGTTGCAAACTTGGCTGCAGCATGTGCTCTGTAACAAGTGTGGCTGGCCCTGGTAGAGCAGGGGAGTTGGCCGCAGAGCCCCCAGCACCCAGGATCTCCCTGCTGCATGGATAGGACAAACCCGTACCTATGCCATATGCAGTGTTCTTACTCTAGCTGTGAGACACCTGACCCCTGCAGGTGCAAAGTGTGGGGGAGGCTGCGATCTTGGCAGGGCAGAGCAGAGAGGCCTGGCCAGGACTGTGAGGACTAGAGGATGAGTACCCCAGCCATGGGGGAGTCCATCCAATGGTCTGTCCCAGGTAGGAGCCATTCAGCAACCAGATGGCCTGCCCTACGGCTGGGGACTCTTCTTCCTCCTTGTAGGCCTGGCTGGGGATCTCTGCCCCTCCAGGCCAAGATGACTGCAGCCTCTCCAGCACCTTGTGCTCTGGCGTCTTGGGCCCCTTGGCTGTGTGGGGAGCCCCCTGCAGCCCCACTGCCAGCACTACCCTAGCCCTAGCTCCAGCCAGGCCCCCCACTTAATTTACAGCAACCGTAACAATTAAAATAACTAAAAATAGAAAAAAATCATTATTAATCTTCGAAATTAGAGACAATAAAACCTGAATTCTGCCAAGCCTACATATGCACCCCCCGACCATACCCCCACCGCCCTGGCTTACGATCCCGCAGGAGGGACAGCCAGGGACATACAACACAGTCAGCTCCAGATACTCTTCTCTATATCGGTTCTCATGCCACACTCATCACCAACGTTTCTGAGCGCCTCAGCAGAGGAACCCCACGGGAACTGCCTTGCAAGACCAGACCAGTTCCCCGGCCCTCACTGCTTGTGCCAGGTCAGACCAATGACCCCGCTAGTCCCATGGCGGCTGACAGAAACTTCTTCGACTCAAGCGATAGGGCCCGAGCAGCGCCAGGGATTTCCTGGCTCCAGGAGGCTGCCAAGTAGCCAGAGATTTATCCCGGCATTATAGGCCCTCTGACCCCACCCTCCACCCCCAGATCCCTCCATCCCAGATCCTGTTTTGTTTCAATAACTAACGTGATTCCCTGGCGGCGCTGAGGGGAGTGGGCCACAGGGGGTTGGGTGCACAGGGTCTCTGCATCCAGGCATTTATACCATGCTCATCTCCACTGTATCCCAGTGCTCAGCCTCTTGCGGGGAGGGCATAGGTTCCCCCGCTGCTTTGTGCCCTCTGCTAATTGGGCCGGGCGGTGTCAATGGGCCCTGTGTGGTGCTGCCATGGGCACCCCTCTTCAACCCCCAGCCAGCTCTGCCCACCCAGCCAGTAGCCCTGACCTACCAGCAGGTTTAAGGCGTATTTGATCTTCTGGAAGCAGGTCTCCCACTCAGGCTCTGGGGGCAGCACTGGGAGAGATGGGAGAGACAGGAGGGAGCTGTCAGCCTGGTAGCTGGGCGCTTCGCCCATCTCTCCCACACCGCAGCAAGCAGACAGCCAGATGCCCAGAGACAGATCAGCCTCTCCACCCACGCCTCTCAGGGCAGGCAGCTTTGCTCTCAGGAGTGGGCCCTGTCCATCCGTCCATCCATCCATCCACTGTCCCGCCTCCCTCCCCATCCCACCTCCTAACAGCTGAGAACAGCAGAGAGCCTCAATAGATGGGCCCCAGCCCCAGCTTTGGAACTGGCTCTCAGAGAGGCAGAACAGGCCTGGGGACTGAGCCAGGGCAGGAGCAGCCCAGGCCTCGGGACCCCACCTAGCCATTCGGAAGGGGCAGAGACTGTGCTAAAGGGCACGGAGCTCTGTTCATGGGGTAATTCCTCGCCCGCCCCAATGTCATGAAAGCCGCATGCTCTCCGCTGCCCACCGCAGGCTGGAGATTTGGATATGCTAGCCAGGGGCACAGATCCTAGCCTCATGAGACACTTCCTTCCCCTGGGGGCCCCCACAGAGACCTGCCCCCCAGATCCTCCTCTCCCATCACAGGGTGTGTCTACACTCACTACAGCTGGGAGTGAGTGTCCCACCCTGGGTAGACGGACACATACCACATAAATAGCATTGTGGATGCTCAGCACAGGCGGGACATGGAGTCCAAGCCTGCCCGAGCCCCTGGCTCCACGATAGGGTGAGCAACCTGTGCCATGCTCATGCCGCAACATGCACACGGCTACTCTGAAGTGCATTCGCTGAAGCAGAGCTCGTGCATCTGCCTACCGAGGCTGGGAGGCTCACTCCACAGCTGCGGAGATGTCCCCTCAGAGACCTCCCCAGGTCACCTTTCCCCTGGAGGGACCACGCAGAGACTGACCCTGCTTCTCCTAGGAGTCCCAGGCCCCCTTCTTTCCACAGAACCTTTCTCCCTCCCTCACCTCCTCTCTCCTTGTCCTTTTTCTTCGACTTCTTCTTGCTGCTCACCGAGCCGCTCGTCTCCTTCAGCTTCCCCACAAAGAGCTCGATGTCACTCAGCACATGGTTCAGGATTTCCTGCCGACACAGAAGCAGCCGGGATGTATCTGAGCCATGGCAGGGCCCCAGGCCAGCCTCTATCTCTGGGGAGAACGCCCAGGCCTAACTGCAGCCAGAGCACAGAGCAAGGTGATACCAGTCTGCTCTGTGTTCTTGGGGAACCAGGGCACAGTATCCAGCCTGTCTGACTCATGAAAGGACACCCCCCCCAAGCCTCTGCTGGAACCAAAACCGATCAGAGAAAAGACTTACAGAGAGCAGTGAAGGGCGGTGGGAGACACACCTACACCCCTCCTGACAAGGGTGACAAGATTAAGGCAACTCCCCCAGCCTCATCTGCATCAAAGATGGGACAGGGAGGCATCCTCATTAGCATACAGAATGGAGAACGGAGATTCCAAGACAAGAATTGCACTGAACTCTGGGACCAGAAAAGCAGGGAAGCACTGCATCCTGGGGGATCTCTGCTCCAGATGTTAATGAACCCTCGCCTGCACACATCCAGCTCAGCAATTATCAGACCAATTCTAGTAATAAGTCCTTGATTGATATCCAAAATACTGAAGCAGTCTAATTGCATTGTGAGCTCCCTGGACGGAACACCACCCGTAGCCAAGAGTGATCAGCTTGTGACAGGGTCAGGCCAGATGGCTACAGGAGAGTGATAGAGGGAGATATATTAGCTCCAGGTTAAGCAGGTCCTTTTTCCCTGGATAAGGTAACAGGGGCGGTTCCAGAACAATCAGGAACTTGCTAGAATCAATTAAGACAGGCAGACTAATCAGGGCATCTGGTTTGAAAAGGATCTCACCCCAGTCAGTGAGGGGCACGCAAGGAGCTGAGAGCGAGAGGGCGTGCTGCTGGAGGACTGAGGAGTACAAACGCTATCTGGCGTCAGGAGGAAGTTCCTGCAGTGAGGATACAGAAGGTGTTGGGGGGAAGGCCATGGGGAAGTAGCCCAGGGAGTTGTAGCTGTCACACAGCTGTTACAAGAAACACTGTAGATATCTGTGATCCACAGGGCCCTGGGCTGGAACCCGGAGTAGAGGGTGGGCCTGGGTTCCCCCCATCCCCCTATTGGATAGAGGAGGAGTTCTCCTGGACTGTGGGTCCCACCAGAGGGGAAGGTCCCTGGCCTGTCCCCCAACCTACTAGGTGGATCAGCAGAGACTGTGGGGATTGTTCTCCTTCTGTTTCCCTATGCTGGCCAGTGATGAGGTTAGCTGAGTGAATGGCAGGTTTGAGCCACTAGCAAAAGTGGCCAAACTGAGGGCTGCTGTGAACCTCTGAGGCGAGCAAACCTGATCTCCCCAGCTCCTCCTTTGGCTGTATCCCCACTTCCACTCGCTGGCCGGCCCACAGCTCCTTCTGGGCAGGGCTGGGACACATCTTGTCCCCTAAGCCAGCTAGCAGAACTGCAGAGGCTAAAAATCCACCCAGCTACCCCCTGGCAGCTACTTCCTCTCCCTCTTCTGCCAGCTGCTCTCTAGGCCTTTCTAAGGCAGAGGCCATTCTTCTCGGGTCTGGCAGGGCGCTTGGAGAGTTCCTTCCCATGCAGGTCCCAGCCCAACACCGCAGCCCCCGAGAGGGTCAGAAGCGTGTCAATACCAAACCCAAACAAGCTCTGCCCTACTGCACATTTGCCTGGTGATGCACCAGGGGCCAAGCCTATCCTTGGGGGCAGGCTCCACCAGGCGATGAGGGGGGCTGCAGCAGTCCCAGGAAAAGCTGGTGTCAGGGAAGCAGCTGGAGCAGTCCTGGGGCACTTACAGTGTCTTTGTCCAAGTCCTGCATTGCCTGCAAGCTGGGATCCGTCCACTCATCTCTCGGCTTTGGGGGCCGCGGCTGGCCAGGCCCTGCAATACCCAGGAGGCTGAGGTCAGTCACAGCAGGCAGGGGTTTGTGGTGGGGTTTCCATTCCATGGCCCCCTCCGTCAGGGCTCAGACTTACAGCTCCTCCCCCAACCCTGTCCTCCCCATTGCCCTCTGCACCCTCCCACAGCACCTCCAGCGCTCTGCAGACATCAGTGAATACAGCCTGGCTAAGGGGAGCCAGTATCATGAGCCCCATGTTACAGAGAGTCAGTGGCAGAGCTGGGAAGGGAATCTAGGAGTCCTGAGTCCAAATCCTGCTCCGAACCTATACCTCCCTGGCCTGCCCCTCCTCCACGCCAACCCTCCCCCACTCACCACCCCCTCCCTGCCACACCTGAGCCTGTTTACCATAATCCATGAAGGCTGGAGGATTCCGGGGCACCTGGTCTTGGCTCTGCCACTCCTGTGGTGTGGGAGGAATAAAGGGGTTTGGGTCTGACAGTCCAGCCCACCTATCCTGGCTGATCTGTGGGAGGCTGCTGTGGAAGGACCCTCGGCTCTGCTGGGACAGCATGGTCTCCAAACTGCTCCTGAGAAAGGGAACAAGGAGGGCGTCTTCTAGTCATGCAGCACTGAGTGCTATCCCTGCAGACGAGGTGGGGGATCAGGTCACTGGGGGCTGGGAGAAGGCTTCTTCTGCCATAGAGAAGGGACTGCATTACACCCCCTGGGGACACTGGAAGAGAAATCCCTGGTGTCCCCGAGGAAGAGGGGTGGGGGGGGGGATACATCCCATCCACGAGGGCTCTGTGTGGCTCAACCCTAGGAGCACCCCAACTCTATGGAAGGACTGAGGGCCCCTGTCTAGAGCTGGGGTGTGGGCTGTATCCCTTGGGGACCTCAGAAGGTGGGGAATTTTTTTGTACCTTTATGGGGGGATCCTTACTGGAAATCCAGGGGTGTGTGGAAGGGGAGAGGGGGGCTCCTGGGAATCCAGGGTTGTGGGACTGTGTCAGACCTGGAAGTGCCCCATCAAGAGACAGTGGTTGGAGGGTTGCACCTAACTTACCCTGCTGGAGACAGGCTCTCTGCACCCCATTACCTGAGCATGTCCTGACTCTCCCGTTCCCCTTTCCACTCCTTGATGGCCTTCTCCAGGTTGGCTTTCATCAGCTCTGCCTGATGGGAAGGGAAGAGGAAACAGCAGAACCGTGAGTTCCCCTCCACAGCCCTGCAGTCGAGAGCTGCAGTCCCTACGCTGCATGCCGCAGCCACGCAGAACTTCCTGCCAATAGTGGGGATAGACCCCAGGGCATCCAGTTCTGAAAGCAACTGCTACTGGAGCTATAGGAGACTCTCCCTAGCAGTGTGGGGACAATGAAACGCCATCCTGATTCCATCCAGGACGGGGCTGCAGCGTCACATGCACCCCATGCTAACGAGTCTCCCATTCCCGTGCTCCGAGGAGGGGGCCGAGCCGCTGGCTGAAGCCATCCTTAGACCTGCCGCCGGCCCGTGCTGCTCACCCCAAGCTGCTCGCACTGGAAGAGGAGGATGCTGCTGCCGTGCTGGCTCTGCTCCCTCACGGTGACGGCCAGGATGGAGTTGTAGACACAGGGGCTGAGTATGGCAGCGCACTCCTGGACGCTCTCAAGGGGGTAGCTCTCCAACTCCTCCTGCAGCGGAGGAAACAGGGGCCGATCAGCAGGACAGTGGGTGTCTCTGCTCTGCTGGGGATCCAAGCTCCTCTCCCATGAACATGGGGTGTGAGGGGAACCCAATGGGCCAGAGGCAGCATATCCCCTCCCATAGGGCTTGCAGGAAAAGAGTAAGCCCCCCGATGCACTCTGCTGTCTCCCCCAGGATCCTAAAGAGAGTGCATGCTGCAGGGTGGGGCTGGGCCCTGCTGGGAGGAGGGGAGGTTGAGATGGGCTGGGAGACCCCCATGCACCTTGGTCTCGATGTCGCTCAACAGCAGCTCAGGGCCCTTCACTTGCAGGATCATGTCCTGTCCCCAGACCCGTCCCTGCGCATCCATCATCTTCAGCTGTGCCACACAGTCGTCCACGCCACAGATGTCCTTGGAGTCCACGTGGGCGGTGAGCAGGTGCTGGGGACACACAGTACAGAGTCCAGGCCTTCCCCAGTGCCCCTGACCCTGGCCCCTGACCACAGGAGAGGGGACCGCGTGACGTGGCTGAGCGAGGTGGCGGTGGGTGGTACTGGCCCGTGCAAAGCACGAGGCTGGGATGTCTCGTCTGCAATCAGGGCTTTGCTGGGCGGTGGGGAACCCAGCCACGGTGCAAGCCCAGAGGAAGCAGCATGCAGCTGCATTGCCCATCCTGGCGCACCGGAGCATGCTGGGAAGGCCCTTCCCCGCTGAGGGGAGGTGACAGCGCGGGGGCAGCTGTTCGGGCTCTGATGAGCGGGGGTGCACGGGGCATTTTCTCCAGGGAGGGAAAACAGGCCGCTTGGACTTCTCCTACCTCCACGCGGTGCTGGAAATTGCTTTGCTGCTTCAGTGTGGAGAGGGTGTAATGTTTGCGCTGGCCTGCAGGCGGAGAGGGGCAAGAGGAATGAAAGGGTGAGGCAGAAATCTGGGAAGAAGGGGCTGGCTGACAGGAGACGTGGTGCAAGGAGAAAGCATTTCTTGCACTCATGGGAGGGACACAACGGGGTGTCACGTGACCTCCCCACGTAACCCTCCATGTGACTCCTCCCCTCCCCACCCCACCCCCAGCCCGGGGCCCCCACGCTCTCCCCGTCCCCTCCGACACCCCCCTTACTTGTCTAAAATTTTACAACTCCATTAAACAGATGCGATTGTAAAATGATGCTTTGGGCCGCTGGTGCCACCTGTACTTCCAGCAGCACCCCAAACTGAAAACTTTTTTAATGAAAGAAGGATAGGAAGGACAATCACCCACTTTCCCTTTAATGTGACTTTAACCCACGCTTTAACGTGGCTGGGTAGTTGCGGGGGAGTAGCTTCCAGCGCTGGTGCACTGTCTACGTTACATCGCTCGTGGGGGGGTGTTTTTTCACACTCCCGAGTGAGAAATTTTCAGCGCTGTAAAGTGGCAGCGTAGACAAGGCCTAAGTATTGCTCTCTGCCAGGCACCAGGCAAGCAAAGATGCTGCACCATCTGGGTGTGATGCAAAAGAGGCACAGAACTCTGTGTGCCACGTACATCTTGATAGAGCTACAGCCCAAATTGTTTTATTATTTTCCTCAGCATGACGTACAGGATGGGCAATCAAAATCAGTCTGGCAGGACGTGTATGAGAACTATCTCTGGACAGATAAGCAATTGATCAAAAGTACATTCTCTAATCTCTTGGGACCAAATCCTGTTCCCACTGAAATCAAAAGGAGTTTTGCTATTGAGTTCAATGGGAACAGGCTTTGACATTTGGAGAGGAAAGAACAAAATCACTCAAGCAAGGGCTATGTTGCTTATATCACAGCTATCAAAGGCTGCTGACTCATGTGAGAAAGTCAGCAGAGATCTGATCTTTGTCCATTGCAAGGGAGAAATCAGCAACCAATGAGGCTAGAACAGTCTCTGTACCATATCCAACTCATAAATCCATCTGCAAAGGATCAAGGAAATATGAAGGCTCCAGATTACCTTAAAGCCTTTAGTCCCTTGGTTAGAATGCTCCCATCAGTATATGTTCATAGTCCAGAGGCTGGAGCAGGAATCAAAAACACTGTCTAAACACCTTCCGTCCCCTCACCTTTCCCCTCAGCTCCCAGAATACTGCACTGGGCAGCACAGCATGGGGAGGAGGTGACCAGCCCTCTGTGGAGAAAGAAGTGGTTCGGGACTATTTAGAAAAGCTGGACGTGCACAAGTCCATGGGGCCGGATGGGCTGCATCTGAGAGTGCTAAAGGAGTTGGCGGTTGTGATTGCAGAGCCATTGGCCATTATCTTTGAAAACTCATGGCGATCGGGGGAAGTCCCAGACGACTGGAAAAAGGCTAATGTAGTGCCCATCTTTAAAAAAGGGAAGGAGGAGAATTCTGGGAACTACAGGCCAGTCAGCCTCACCTCAGTCCCTGGAAAAATCATGGAGCAGGTCCTCAAGGAATCAATTCTGAAGCACTTAGAGGAGAGGGAAGTGATCAGGAACAGTCAGCATGGATTCACCAAGGGCAAGTCATGCCTGACTAATCTAATTGCCTTCTATGACGAGATAACTGGTTCTGTGGATGAAGGGAAAACAGTGGACGTTTTGTTCCTTGACTTTAGCAAAGCTTTTGACACTGTCTCCCACAGTATTCTTGCCAGCAAGTTAAAGAAGTATGGGCTGGATGAATGGACTATAAGGTGGATAGAAAGCTGGCTAGATTGTCGGGCTCAGCGGGTAGTGATCAATGGCTCCATGTCTAGTTGGCAGCCGGTATCAAGTGGAGTGCCCCAAGGCTCGGTCCTGGGGCCGGTTTTGTTCAATATCTTCATAAATGATCTGGAGGATGGTGTGGATTGCACCCCCAGCAAGTTTGCAGATGACACTAAACTGGGAGGAGAGGTAGATATGCTGGAGGGTAGGGATAGGATACAGAGGGCTCTAGACAAATTGGAGGATTGGGCCAAAAGAAATCTGATGAGGTTCAACAAGGACAAGTGCAGAGTCCTGCACTTAGGACGGAAGAATCCCATGCACCGCGACAGACTAGGAACCGAATGGCTCGGCAGCAGTTCTGCGGAAAAGGACCTAGGGGTTACAGTGGACGAGAAGCTGGATAGGAGTCAACAGTGTGCCCTTGTTGCCAAGAAGGCCAATGGCATTTTGGGATGTATACGTAGGGGCATTGCCAGCAGATTGAGAGACGTGATCATTCCGCTCTATTCGACACTGGTGAGGCCTCATCTGGAGTACTGTGTCCAGTTTTGGGGCCCACAGTACAAGAAGGATGTGGAGAAATTGGAGAGAGTCCAGTGGAGGGCAACAAAAATGATGAGGGGACTGGAACACATGAGTTATGAGGAGAGGCTGAGGGAACTGGGGATGTTTAGTCTACGGAAAAGAAGAATGAGGGGGGATTTGATAGCTGCTTTCAACTACCTGAAAGGGGATTCCAAAGCGGATGGCTCTAGATTGTTCTCAGTGGTAGCTGATGACAGAATAAGGAGTAATGGTCTCCAGTTGCAGTGGGGGAGATTTAGGTTGGATATTAGGAAAAACCTTTTCACTAGGAGGGTGGTGAAACACTGGAATGCATTACCTAGGGAGGTGGTGGAATCTCCTTCCTTAGAAGTTTTTAAGGTCAGGCTTGACAAAGCCCTGGCTGGGATGATTTAATTGGGGATCGGTCCTGCTTTGAGCAGGGGGTTGGACTAGATGACCTCCTGAGGTCCCTTCCAACCCTGATATTCTATGATTCTATGACTCCAGACCAACTTAACAGCACAATACATATGCTAACAAACTTAAACAAAGCTTTTGTTTAATGACAGGTTTCAGAGTAACAGCCCTGTTAGTCTGTATTCGCAAAAAGAAAAGGAGGACTTGTGGCACCTTAGAGACTAACCAATTTATTTGAGCATGAGCTTTCATGAGCTACAGCTCACTTCATCGCATGCCTACTGTGGAAAATACAGAAAATGTTTGTTTTTATACACACAAATCATGAAAAAATGGGTGTTTATCACTACAAAAGGTTTTCTCTCCCCCCCACTCCACTCTTCTGCTGGTATTAGCTTATGTAAAGTGATCACTCTCCTTACAATGTGTATGATAATCAAGGTGGGCCATTTCCAGCACAAATCCAGGGTTTAACAAGAACGTCTGAGGAGGGGGGGGGGTTAGGAAAACAAGGGGAAATAGGTCACCTTGTATAATGACTTAGCCACTCCCAGTCTCTATTCAAGCCTAAGTTAATTGTATCCAATTTGCAAATGAATTCCAATTCAGCAGTCCCTCGCTGGAGTCTGGATTTGAAGTTTTTCTGTTGTAATATCGCAACTTTCCTGAGGTAAGTGGGAAAGCGGGATACCGGGAGGAAGCACAGGCAGGAATGTCTGTGAGGGGAGGGCTCCTGCCTCATACTGAGAATGAGGGGCGATCAGCAGGTTATCTCAAGCGCTTATATACGAATGCACAAAGCCTTGGAAACAAGCAGGGAGAACTGGAGGTCCTGGTGATATCAAGGAATTATGACGTGATTGGAATAACAGAGACTTGGTGGGATAACTCACATGACTGGAGTACTGTCATGGATGGTTATAAACTGTTCAGGAAGGACAGGCAGGGCGGAAAAGGTGGGGGAGTAGCACTGTATGTAAGGGAGCAGTATGACTGCTCAGAGCTCCGGTACGAAACTGCAGAAAAACCTGAGGGTCTCTGGATTAAGTTTAGAAGTGTGAGCAACAAGAGTGATGTAGTGGTGGGAGTCTGCTATAGACCACAGGACCAGGGGGATGAGGTGGATGAGGCTTTCTTCAGGCAGCTCGCGGAAGCTACTAGATCGCATGCCCTGGTTCTCATGGGTGACTTTAATTTTCCTGATATCTGCTGGGAGAGCAATACAGCGGTGCATAGACAATCCAGGAAGTTTTTGGAAAGCGTAGGGGACAATTTCCTGGCGCAAGTGCTAGAGGAGCCAACTGTGGGGGCGCTTTTCTTGACCTGCTGCTCACAAACCGGGTAGAATTAGTGGGGGAAGCAAAAGTGGATGGGAATCTGGGAGGCAGTGACCATGAGTTGGTTGAGTTCAGGATCCTGACACAGGGAAGAAAGGTAAGCAGCAGGATACGGACCCTGGACTTCAGGAAAGCAGACTTCGACTCCCTCAGGGAACAGATGGGTAGGATCCCCTGGGGGACTAACATGAAGGGGAAAGGAGTCCAGGAGAGCTGGCTGTATTTCAAGGAATCCCTGTTGAGGTTACAGGGACAAACCATCCTGATGTGTCGAAAGAATAGTAAATATGGCAGGTGACCAGCTTGGCTTAACGGTGAAATCCTAGCTGATCTTAAACATAAAAAAGAAGCTTACAAGAAGTGGAAGGTTGGACATATGACCAGGGAAGAGTATAAAAATATTGCTCGGGCATGTAGGAATGAAATCAGGAGGGCCAAATCGCACCTGGAGCTGCAGCTAGCGAGAGATGTCAAGAGTAACAAGAAAGGTTTCTTCAGGTATGTTGGCAACAAGAAGAAAGCCAAGGAAAGTGTGGGCCCCTTACTGAATGAGGGAGGCAACCTAGTGACAGAGGATGTGGAAAAAGCTAATGTACTCAATGCTTTTTTTGCCTCTGTCTTCACTAACAAGGTCAGCTACCAGACTGCTGCGCTGGGCATCACAACATGGGGAATAGATGGCCAGCCCTCTGTGGAGAAAGAGGTGGTTAGGGACTATTTAGAAAAGCTGGACGTGCACAAGTCATAGAATCATAGAATCATAGAATATAAGGGTTGGAAGGGACCCCAGAAGGTCATCTAGTCCAACCCCCTGCTCAAAGCAGGACCAATTCCCAGTTAAATCATCCCAGCCAGGGCTTTGTCAAGCCTGACCTTAAAAACCTCTAAGGAAGGAGATTCTACCACCTCCCTAGGTAACGCATTCCAGTGTTTCACCACCCTCTTAGTGAAAAAGTTTTTCCTAATATCCAATCTAAACCTCCCCCACTGTAACTTGAGACCATTACTCCTCGTTCTGTCATCTGATACCATTGAGAACAGTCTAGAGCCATCCTCTTTGGAACCCCCTTTCAGGTAGTTGAAAACAGCTATCAAATCCCCCCTCATTCTTCTCTTCTGCAGGCTAAACAATCCCAGCTCCCTCAGCCTCTCCTCATAACTCATATGTTCCAGACCCCTAATCATTTTTGTTGCCCTTCGCTGGACTCTCTCCAATTTATCCACATCCTTCTTGAAGTGTGGGGCCCAAAACTGGACACAGTACTCCAGATGAGGCCTCACCAATGTCGAATAGAGGGGAACGATCACGTCCCTCGATCTGCTCGCTATGCCCCTACTTATACATCCCAAAATGCCATTGGCCTTCTTGGCAACAAGGGCACACTGCTGACTCATATCCAGCTTCTCGTCCACTGTCACCCCTAGGTCCTTTTCCGCAGAACTGCTGCCTAGACATTCGGTCCCTAGTCTGTAGCTGTGCATTGGGTTCTTCCGTCCTAAGTGCAGGACCCTGCACTTATCCTTATTGAACCTCATCAGATTTCTTTTGGCCCAATCCTCCAATTTGTCTAGGTCCTTCTGTATCCTATCCCTCCCCTCCAGCGTATCTACCACTCCTCCCAGTTTAGTATCATCCGCAAATTTGCTGAGAGTGCAATCCACACCATCCTCCAGATCATTTATGAAGATATTGAACAAAACCGGCCCCAGGACCGACCCTTGGGGCACACCACTTGATACCGGCTGCCAACTAGACATGGAGCCATTGATCACTACCCGTTGAGCCCGACCATGGGGCCGGACGAGTTGCATCCGAGAGTGCTAAAGGAACTGGCGGCTGTGAGTGCAGAGCCATTGGACATTATCTTTGAAAACTCGTGGCGAACGGGGGAAGTCCCAGATGACTGGAAAAAGGCTAATGTAGTGCCAATCTTTAAAAAAGGGAAGAAGGAAGATCCTGGGAACTACAGGCCAGTCAGCCTCACTTCAGTCCCTGGAAAAATCATGGAGCAGGTCCTCAAAGAATCAATCCTGAAGCACTTAGAGGAGAGGAAAGTGATCAGGAACAGTCAGCATGGATTCACCAAGGGAAGGTCATGCCTGACTAATCTAATCGCCTTCTATGATGAGATTACTGGTTCTGTGGATGAAGGGAAACCAGTGGATGTATTGTTTCTTGACTTTAGCAAAGCTTTTGACACTGTCTCCCACAGTATTCTTGTCAGCAAGTTAAAGAAGTATGGGCTGGATGAATGCACTATAAGGTGGGTAGAAAGTTGGCTAGATTGTCGGGCTCAACGGGTAGTGATCAATGGCTCCATGTGTAGTTGGCAGCCGGTGTCAAGTGGAGTGCCCCAGGGGTTGGTCCTGGGGCCGATTTTGTTCAATATCTTCATAAATGATCTGGAGGATGGTGTGGATTGCACTCTCAGCAAATTTGCGGATGATACTAAACTGGGAGGAGTGGTAGATACGCTGGAGGGGAGGGATAGGATACAGAGGGACCTGGACAAATCGGAGGATTGGGCCAAAAGAAATCTGATGAGGTTCAATAAGGATAAGTACAGGGTCCTGCACTTAGGACAGAAGAACCCAATGCACAGCTACAGACTAGGGACCGAATGGCTAGGCAGCAGTTCTGCGGAAAAGGACCTAGGGGTGACAGTGGACGAGAAGCTGGATATGAGTCAGCAGTGTACCCTTGTTGCCAAGAAGGCCAATGTCATTTTGGGATGTATAAGTAGGGGCATAGCCAGCAGATCGAGGGACGTGATCGTCCCCCTCTATTCGACATTGGTGAGGCCTCATCTGGAGTACTGTGTCCAGTTTTGGGCCCCACACTACAAGAAGGATGTGGATAAATTGGAAAGAGTCCAGCGAAGGGCAACAAAAATGATTAGCAAAAAGAAAAGGAGTACTTGTGGCACCTTAGAGACTAACCAATTTATTTGAGCATGAGCTTTCGTGAGCTACAGCTCACTTCATCGGATGCAACCGATGAAGTGAGCTGTAGCTCACGAAAGCTCATGCTCAAATAAATTGGTTCGTCTCTAAGGTGCCACAAGTACTCCTTTTCTTTTTGCGAATACAGACTAACACGGCTGTTACTCTGAAACCCGTCAAAAATCATTAGGGGTCTGGAACACGTGACTTATGAGGAGAGGCTGAGGGAACTGGGATTGTTTAGTCTGCAGAAGAGAAGAATGAGGGGGGATTTGATAGCTGCTTTCAACTACCTGAAAGGTGGTTCCAGAGAGGATGGTTCTAGACTATTCTCAGTGGTAGAAGAGGACAGGACAAGGAGTAATGGTCTCAAGTTGCAGTGGGGGAGGTTTAGGTTGGATATTAGGAAAAACTTTTTCACTAGGAGGGTGGTGAAACACTGGAATGCGTTGCCTAGGGAGGTGGTGGAATCTCCTTCCTTAGAAGTTTTTAAGGTCAGGCTTGACAAAGCCCTGGCTGGGATGATTTAATTGGGGATGGGTCCTGCTTTTGAGCAGGGGGTTGGACTAGATGACCTCCTGAGGTCCCTTCCAACCCTGATATTCTATGATTCTATGTCTGTAATCGCGTGACCAGAGAGATTGAAGTGTTCTCCAACTGGTTTATGAATGTTATAATTCTTGACGTCTGATTTGTGTCCATTTATTCTTTTATGTAGAGACTGTCCAGTTTGACCAATGTACATGGCAGAGGGGCATTGCTGGCACATGATGGCATATATCACATTGGTAGATGTGCAGGTGAACTAGCCTCTGATAGTGTGGCTGATGTGATTAGGCCCTGTGATGGTGTCCCCTGAATAGATACGTGGACACAGTTGGCAACGGGCTTTGTTGCAAGGATAGGTTCCTGGGTGAGTGGTTCTGTTGTGTGGTATGTGGTTGCTGGTGAGTATTCGCTTCAGGTTGGGGGGCTGTCTGTAGGCAAGGACTGGTTTGTCTCCCAAGATTTGTGAGAGTGTTGGGTCATCCTTCAGGATAGGTTGTAGATCCTTGATAATGCGTTGGAGGGGTTTTAGTTGGGGGCTGAAGGTGATGGCTAGTGGCGTTCTGTTATTTTCTTTGTTAGGTCTGTCCTGTAGTAGGTGACTTCTGGGAGCTCTTCTGGCTCTATCAATCTGTTTCTTCACTTCTGCAGGTGGGTATTGTAGTCGTAAGAATGCTTGACAGAGATCTTGTAGGTGTTTGTCTCTGTCTGAGGGGTTGGAGCAAATGCGGTTGTATCGCAGAGCTTGGCTGTAGACAATGGATCGTGTGGTGTGGTCAGGGTGAAAGCTGGAGGCATGTAGGTAGGAATAGCGGTCAGTAGGTTTCTGGTATAGGGTGGTGTTTATGTGACCATCATTTATCAGCACTGTAGTGTCCAGGAAGTGGATCTCTTGTGTGGACTGGACCAGGCTGAGGTTGATGGTGGGATGGAAATTGTTGAAATCATGGTGGAATTCCTCAAGAGCTTCTTTTCCATGGGTCCAGATGATGAAGATGTCATCAATATCTCGCAAGTAGAGGAGGGGCATTAGGGGACGAGAGCTGAGGAAGCGTTGTTCTTAGTCAGCCATAAAAATGTTGGCATACTGTGGGGCCATGCGGGTACCCATAGCAGTGCCGCTGGTTTAAAGGTATACATTGTCCCCAAATGTAAAATAGTTATGGGTAAGGACAAAGTCACAAATTTCAGCCACCAGGTTAGCCGTGACATTATCCTGGCCACGATGGATGTAGAAGCCCTCTACACCAACATTCCACACAAAGATGGACTACAAGCCGTCAAGAACACTATCCCCGATAATGTCACGGCTTCAAATCCAGACTCCAGCGAGAGACTGCTGAATTGGAATTCATTTGCAAATTGGATACAATTAACTTAGGCTTGAATAGAGACTGGGAGTGGCTAAGTCATTATGCAAGGTAACCTATTTCCCCTTGTTTTTCTAACCCCCGCCCCCCCAGACGTTCTTGTTAAACCCCGGATTTGTGCTAGAAATGGCCCACCTTGATTATCATACACATTGTAAGGAGAGTGATCACTTTACATAAGCTATTACCAGCAGGAGAGTGGGGTGAGAGGAGAGAAAACCTTTTGTAGTGATAAACACCCATTTTTTTTATGATTTGTGTGTGTAAAAACAATCTTCTGTATTTTCCACAGTAGGCATCCGATGAAGTGAGCTGTAGCTCACGAAAGCTTACGCTCAAATAAATTGGTTAGTCTCTAAGGTGCCACAAGTACTCCTTTTCTTTTGTTTAAGTTTGTTAGCATATGTATTGTGCTGTTAAACCCATATAAAGAATGAATGCTCTCCCTAGCTGCGTTCTGCTCCTTTAAGGCTAGCTAGCTAAGTCTTTCCGGTACCCCGTACCCGCTAAAAGTCTTGCTAGCATACTGGAGCCTACCACCCTACTTGCACTCCTAGATGGGAGGTGCGGAGACATGAGGGAGGGGAAGGGGATGGGTAGGCTGAAGGGAGGGGGACGCTGTTCTTACGGTAAATGGCTTTGCTGCTGGGCCTGGATGTGCTGTTGGCTCTGATGAGGTCTGGGCTGCCATTGCTGAACTCACTGTAGAGAGGACAGACAAACATACAGACACCTGGGTCATAAGATCTGCCAGGATCCCAAGGACCCTCCTCCCTCCCCCCTGAGCTTGGGCCCTTGCTCCCCAGTGCAGGGACCTGCTGGCACATGCCAGGTTGTGCTCCGGAGCTGGGTGAGTGGGGTTTGACGACAGTCGGCCTTTGCCTGGCCCCCACTGGCCCGTGAGGAATCTCAGTGGGTGCCTCCTGACCCAGATGGGGAGATGCAGAGAGAGCAGTGCCTGGGCCCTGTTTGGAAGATGCTCCCTGTCTCCCAGGTAGGCTGCTCTGCCCAAGAGCCCTGGGGATGGTCAGAGAAGCAGTTGTCAGATGGAGCATTGATTGTACTGTATGCCTGTGGGGTGGGGGAGTACAGCCCCCAGAGCTCACCGCAGCAGGGTAGGGGGCACCCCCAGAGCCCTAAGAGAGACGGGCACTCACTTGTACTCAGACTCGGTCCTGTGGCCAAAGGGCTCCATCATCGTTGTCCCAGAGGGCAGGCCCTGCAAAACAGAAACATCAGAGCCCACGCCCAAGGGTGGGATCAGCTGCCGGAGGGCAAGGCAGAGGGAGCTGAAAGTAGTAGGATGATCATATGTCCCATTGTGGCCAGGACAGCCCCTTTTTTAAGCCCTGTCCTGGCCGTCCTGACTTTTCTGGCCAGGGTGGGCATTTGTCTCGATTGCTCTTGCAAAGCCGATCAGTTGGCAAGAGCAAATGGGCCAAATGCCCACTTCTGTCAAAAGCATGGGTGCGGAGGAACGTGCCTGGCGGTGAGTGGTGATGCCAGCCCCATGCAGGGGGAGAGGCAGGGGGAGAGTGAGCAGTGACACCAGTCCCAGCCTCGGATGGGGGGCAGGCAGGGCTCCAGCGAGCAGTGACGCCAGCCCCATGCAGGGAGGGGGTCTCGGGCAAGTGGCTCGGGCCACAAGAGGACTCTGGCTAGCCCCACAGGGTGACCCATTTTGCCGTTGGGAAATATGGTCACCTACACAGTAGGGGTGCTGGTTCCAGTGTCAGAGCCCTAATTGCACGGCTTTCCTTCCCCCCCGGCCCCTCGGCTCCAATGCACACGAATCACTGATCACCTCCCTCAGTACATGGGCACACCCTGATCCTGCCCAGTCATGCAGCCCTGCTGCAGGGAATAAGGGGCTTCCAAAGAGTGAGGTTTGGGGACTCCGGGAGGGTTGGAGGCTGGAACCACCATTTTCCAGTGGGGGAGCCCAGGGAGGCAAGCTTATGATTTAGCCTTTACTAAAAGGGAGAGAGTTTAGCTGAAGCCCATCTTCTTCCCCAGCCTCCACGCCTCAAACTCTTACTTGCTGCATCGCGGGCTGGATCGGCCCCGCAGGGGCAGGGACAATGCGAGGCCAGCTCCTGCAATTACCCCAAATGCCTCCCCTCCTGAAAATAGATCCCCTGGATGTTTGGAGGGACTATAAACTCTCCTGCCTCAGGGCATGAGCTACCCTTTAACAAACGGGGTCAGGCTATTTCACAATTGTCCACTGGGGAGGGGGGTTTCTTGCACCTTCCTCTGAAGTAGCTGGCGCTGGGCAGGGCCAGAGCCATGAGACTAGGCTAGATGGGCCCCTGCTCTGATCCCTGTGCTCCTGTGTCACAAATCTTGGTCTCGACTGAGCCCTGTGGCTAATCAGGCTTCCATTCTCGCCCGCCCTGTCTCCTCGCAGCCACCAATGCCACTTATCAGACAAGCGCTGCGATCAATCCAAGCCCTTCCTGGCCAGCCGCCTCCCCACCGCCCTGGCTCTAGCGAAGAGCACCAGGAAGTTTGTGGCGTCACGGCCTTGACAGCCATCTTGCTTTTAAGAAGCCCCAGGTCAGGCATTTTCCCTGCAGGGCTTGAAATGCTGGAGGGAGGGAAACTCGCCTGGCTTGAGAGGGAGATCCCCCTTAGTAACCATGTGTCTGAGTTGCTGCTGGTTAACCCCAGCTCACATCGATCCCCTTCCAGAGCCGCACGTCGCAGCACACCACCACTGCCTGCCCGCCGGACCCAGAGAGCAGGGCCTTTCCCCGAGCAATTAGCTGCTCCTCACAGAGTCTTCTCCCTGGGGAGCCATCATCACCTGGACCTGCCTGCTGCTTACTCCTCCCTCGCTAAGGCTTGGAGCCGGAAGCTGGCGTCCAGGGAATACTGCAAGTTGGTTACCTGGCAGGTTGTCGGGCGATGGCTCCTACCAGTTCCCAGTGGGCGATCACAGGGGCATTCTCTCCTGGAGAAACTCAGGGGAAGAGGAGGGGGCCAGGAGCTGCGGCTTGGACAATCTACAGCTCCGACTGCAGACTTTGATCTCCCCAGCTCTGGACTCACTCTCTTGGTAACTGGACCCAGAGGGAGTGAATCATAATAATCTCGTCTGGCTTCTGACGCAGGGACCACGCCTGCTGCTCTTTGCTCTCTCGCATAGGGAAATCATCAACCTTGCAGGCCCCTGCCGATGCATAGTAATCCTAGGCTACAGCAGCTGCAGAGCAGACCCTCACCCAGCTCTGTCCAGGCACCTCCACCCTCATTGTCAGCACCCTGACTAACCCAGCTCCGGAGATCCCTACACAGCAGACCCTCCCCTCCCACAATGCCATGACCCTCATGCACAGCTCTGCCGGCCCCCCTCCTGTGAACATCCTGCCCTCCAGCGCTTCCTCCTCGCACAGCGCTGAGCTCCCGGCATCGCTTTGCCAGTGCCCCTGAGGCCTGACCCACTTTGCCACGCCAGCACTGGCTGCTTGCGGATCACATGCTGGTTTTGTGACGCTGCCGGGGATTCATTCACTAGACCCGTTCCACCTGTGGTTTATTCTGAATTCGGGCTCACAGCCCCCTCCCTGGCAAGCTATTCACCCCTGCCGGAGGGGGCTTCTCCAAACCAAACCCAGCCCCACTGCCTGCTGGTTCTTCAGCACAGCTCGCTCCTCACTCTGCCTTTCCCAGTCACCTCCCAGCAATCCAGTGTCTCCAGCGCTGTCCTCTCCAGTCCTGGATAGGACCCCACCCTCTCTGTTTACCCTCAGGCTCCTGGTCTCCACCCCTCAAGACACGTCCAGGGCTCTTCCCTGGCTTTCCTTTCTCCACAGAGATGCCTTGTTGATAGTGTGGACCTTGGACAGACCTTCTTGGTTTAGTTGTGAGGACAGCACCTCCCTTGTTCTCCTGACAACCAGCAAATACAAATCCCAGCAACTCAGCCTCCCCCGCACCCCAGCACAGGCAGGGGCAAAGCACCACAGGGGCGCCTGCAGATTATACAGAAGCCTTGGCTTCTCCATCAGGGGTTTAGTAGCACTGCAGAGTGGGGGGAGGGCTGGCCTCAGACTGCAGACCCTGTCCCACACCCTCTCTCCTTCTCCTCCCACTGCCCCTCCCCATAACACTCACCCTCACCTCCCCCGTCCCTGCCCCTTCCCACTCTTATTTGCCCCTCTATTCTTTCCCCCTCGCTCTCCTGTGGCTAGAGTAGTCAGGACAGGGTTAAACTAATCACAAAAGGGAAGGGTAAAAAGAGCAAAGAGATGAGTGCTCAGCACAAAAATCAAGATGTTGAGAACAAAATGAATCAAGGCACCAAAGGGCAGAAGAGAATAAATTCTTGAATTTGCCTATACACCGATGCTAGAAGCCTGGGTAACAAACAAGAGGAATTGGAACTGTTCATTTATTCCATCTAGTTAATATTACTGAAACCTGGTGGGATGATTCACATGACTGTAATGTTAAAACCAATTGTTATAACCTCTTTAGAAAGGATCAGGTGGGCAGAAGCGGCGGGGGAGTGGCACTCTATGTCAAAAATGGTATTATCTGTTTCCGAGTCACTGATCACTGGGAAGATAATGATCTTGAATGCTTATGGATCAATGTTCTAACAGAGAAAGCACAAGATGGGGTATTCATTGGTGTCTGCTACAGATCATCAAATCACACCAGGGAAAAAGGACCACCTCTTTACAGACCTATCTATAAAGTGTAGGGAAAAAACCATGGGGACTTCAGTTTGAGTGACATCTGCTGGAGGTCTCATGCTGTCAGTACGAAAACATTCTTGGAATTTCTAAACATTATAGAGGACAATTTCCTAACTCAAAAAGTGTTGCAGCCAACACGGGGGAACTCTACATTAGACCTTGTCCTGCCAGATAAAGAGGAACTGATCACAGTACTAAAAGTTAATGGTAGCTTAGGTACAAGTGATCAAGACTTGTTCACATTTATAATGACAGGTTTCAGAGTAACAGCCGTGTTAGTCTGTATTCGCAAAAAGAAAAGGAGTACTTGTGGCACCTTAGAGACTAATCAATTTATTTGAGCATGAGCTTTCGTGAGCTACAGCTCACTTCATCGGATTTATAATGTACAAGCAGAATAAAATCCAGACCAGTAATATATAAATACTTGATGCTTGAATAGGGTCGGTTTCACAAAGCTGAAAACAATTATGAGCTAAATCAGCTGGGAGGAAGGATTTAATCAGAAAAATGTGAATGATAATTGCAAATCATTTAAGGACACCTTACTAGATGCTCCAAAAGCCACAATCCCACAGTGAAGGAAGAAGGTTCTTCTGATGTGCTGGTTAAAAAACCAACCTGGTACAGAGGGTAAGCGAAGGGAGTTGTAAAAAACAAAAAAACAAAAAACCCAACAACAAATGGAAGAAAGGGGAAGTTGATAGTAAAAAATCATAGAACTAGAAGGGACCTCAAGAGATCATCTAGTCCAGTCGCCTGCACTCATGGCAGGACTAAGTATTATCTAGACCATCCCTGACGGGTGTTTGTCCAACCTGCTCTTAAAAATGTCCAGTGTTGGAGATTCCACAACCTCCCTAGGCAATTTATTCCAGTGCTTAACCACCCTGACAGTTAGGAAGTTTTTCCTGATGTCCAACCTAAACCTCCCTTGCTGCAATTTAAGCTCATTTCGTCTTGTCCTTTCCTCAGCGATTAAGAAGAACAATTTTTCTCCCTCCTCCTTGTAACAACCTTTTATGTACTTGAAAACTGTTCTCATGTCCCCTCTCAGTCTTCTCTTCTCCAGACTAAACAAACCCAATTTTTTCAATCTTCCCTCATAGGTCATGTTTTCTAGACCTTTCATCATTTTTTTGCTCTTCTCTGGCCTTTCTCCAATTTGTCCACATCTTTCCTGAAATGTGGCACCCAGAACTGGACACAATACTCCAGCTGAGGCCTAATCAGCGTGGAGTAGAGTGGAATAATTACTTCTCGTGTCTTGCTTACCATACTCCTGCTAATACAGCCCAGAATGAGGTTTGCTTTTTTTGCAACAGCGTTACACTGTTGACTAATATTTAGCTTGTGATCCACAATGACCCCCAGATCCCTTTCCGCAGTACTCCTTCCTAGGAAGTCATTCCCCATTTTGTATGTGTGCAAGTGGAGTACTTCGCATTTGTCCTTATTGAATTTCATCCTATTTACTTCAGACCATTTCTCCAGTTTGTCCAGATCATTTTGAATTATAATCCTATCCTCCAAAGCACTTGCAACCCTTCCCAGCTTGGTATCATCTGCAAACTTTATAAGTGTGCTCTCTATGCCATTATCTAAATCATTGATGAAGATATTAAACAGAACTGGACCCAGAACTGATGCCTGCGGGATCCCACTCGTTATGCCCTTCCAGTATGACTGTGAACCACTGATAACTACTCTCTGGGAATGGTTTTCCAAATATAAATGGTTTTCCAAATATCAGAAGCTAGGAATTGTAGAAAATTGATAAGGGAAGCCAGGGGACACAAGAAGACCTCTATGGCCAACAGAGTTAAGGACAATAAGGAGTTTTTAAAATATATTAGGAAGAAACAAAATGTGGACAATGGTATTGGTCCATTACTAGATGGAAATGGTAGAATTATCAAGAATGCAGAAAAGGCAGAAGTGTTCAATGAATATTATTGATGTTGTAGCAATTGTCTATGGAAAAAATCCCAAGGCTTGCCCTCCCCAAAATCAAACGCTTGATTACAGGTGTGTTAGTCAGTGTGACAAAGTTCCTCCTCTATCTTGGTGGGTCTTGCACTTATTGGCGGATTTGCTCGCCTTGGAGCTTCACGGCAGCCCTCAGTTTGGCCATTTTCATGAACCCACAGTTCAGGTCAACTCCTCCTGTGTCTGACCAGGAGTTGGGAGGATTTGGGGGGAACCCAGGCCCGCCCTCTACTCCAGGTTCCAGCCCAGGGCCCTGTGGAATGCAGCTGTCTAGAGTGTCTCCTGGAACAGCTGTGTGACAGCTACAACTCCCTGGGCTACTTCATAGAATCATAGAATATCAGGGTTGGAAGGGACCTCAGGAGTCATCTAGTCCAACCCCCTGCTCAAAGCAGGACCAATCCCCAACTAAATCATCCCAGCCAGGGCTTTGTCAAGCCTGACCTTAAAAACTTCTAAGGAAGGAGATTCCACCACCTCCCTAGGCAACGCATTCCAGTGTTTCACCACCCTCCTAGTGAAAAAGTTTTTCCTAATATCCAACCTAAACCTCCCCCACTGCAACTTGAGACCATTACTCCTTGTTCTGTCATCAGCTACCACTGAGAACAGTCTAGAGCCATCCTCTTTGGAACCCCCTTTCAGGTAGTTGAAAGCAGCTATCAAATCCCCCCTCATTCTTCTCTTCTGCAGGCTAAACAATCCCAGCTCCCTCAGCCTCTCCTCATAACTCATGTGTTCCAGACCCCTAATCATTTTTGTTGCCCTTCGCTGGACTCTTTCCAATTTATCCACATCCTTCTTGTAGTGTGGGGCCCAAAACTGGACACAGTACTCCAGATGAGGCCTCACCAATGTCGAATAGAGGGGGACGATCACGTCCCTCGATCTGCTCGCTATGCCCCTACTTATACATCCCAAAATGACATTGGCCTTCTTGGCAACAAGGGCACACTGCTGACTCATATCCAGCTTCTCGTCCACTGTCACCCCTAGGTCCTTTTCTGCAGAACTGCTGCCTAGCCATTCGGTCCCTAGTCTGTAGCTGTGCATTGGGTTCTTCTGTCCTAAGTGCAGGACCCTGTACTTATCCTTATTGAACCTCATCAGATTTCTTTTGGCCCAATCCTCCAATTTGTCCAGGTCCCTCTGTCCCACTTCCCCATGGCCTCCTCCCAACACCTTCTTTATCCTCACCATAGGACCTTCCTCCTGGTGTCTGATAATACTTGTACTCCTCAGTCCTCCAACAGTCCGCGTTCTCACTCTCAGCTCCTAGTGCCTCTTGCTCCCAGCTCCTCACACGCGCCACAAACTGAAGTGAGCTTCTTTTTAAACCCAGGCGCCCTGATTAGCCTGCCTTAATTGATTCTAGCAGCTTCTTGATTAGAACACCTGCAGCCAATCAGCCTGTCTGTCTTAATTGTCTCCAGAAGGTTCCCAATTGTTCTGGAACCTTCTCTGTTACCTTACCCAGGGGAAAGGGACCTACTTAACCTGGGGCTAATATATCTGCCTTCTATCACTCTCTTGTAGCCATCTGGCCCGACCCTGTCACATCAGAAACTAGATTTTTGATT